TCAAAAAATAAATTACTCTTAACTTACCAGGTTATTGGGGTCCGATTTACTCCTGCCGAAATAAATGGGGAAATGAAACTGCTGAATGCCTTAAGCTAACTTGGTCGTGTTCTATCCCAAGCAACCTCTCAAAATAATGTGTGGGGGTGGATCTGTATCATAAATTCTTTGCTTTAAAATGCTGTTATACCATTTCAAGAGCACTGGGGTAGATTTATTTCCTCCTTCCTCTGTTGTGTTGTGTTGTGTTGTGGTTTTTTTGTGTTCTTAAGTGAGGCAAGCCACACAATGGCAAAGAGGTGGATTAATCTGAGATGTTGTTATGTGCACGGCTGAATGGCCTTCTGCTTCCTTACAACTTACAACCCTATAATTCTATGATAAAGGGACAGCGAAATTGCCTATCTAATGAGAATACCTTCACTGTGCTCTCGGACTCCCCATTCATCAGCCTCAGACAGGCTTGTCAAGGTTATATTCCAGGCCAAAGTGATTGTGGCAGTGCTCCGGGATTCCGCGGCAGAACGCGACCTGCAGTCCACAGCGCCACTGTAGATCATTATTTCACACTCCCTGCCTCACCGATTCAAAAATTATTGCAAGATACTGTCGCCCTCGACCAGTTTCGGCTGACACAGCCTTTTTGCTGTTTTCGTTAACGCAGCCTTCGGTGTTCGCAAATATCCACAGCAGCGCTAACTGGTTCATATCAACAACTAATTTATCGTTCATTCACGAGCTTTCTCTTGTTCTTTAAAACTATTTCACTGAGCTGATTTGCCCCCCAATTTCCCCTCAATTCACCCATGAAACTGCTGCTGCCACCTTGGGGTGTGGTGGGGAGCTAGAATGAGTAAATGAGTGGAAGAGTCTACTGAAAACGATCCACATCGGATTATGATTATGATTCAGGGCCTTGCAAACCATTGTTAACAAAGATGGCTACAGCATTAAAGCCAAGCATCCACTCCTGCCCAGTCTCTGCTCTCACTAGGGCTGGGCAATATCTGGTTTTCAACATCGTGATATATCAACAGCTAAACATCTCGATAAACCGATATATCACAATATCTGAAATAAGGATGGAGATATGTAAAGGCACTGGCTGGCTTCATGGTTTTTCCAATGTTGTGATTTTTGCATAGCACACACACACACATTATGAAACCAGTATCTCGATACAGATTTCAAACCTATTTTGGACAATATATTGATATATCACGCAGCCCTAACTCTCACCTCTCAAGTCAACTCTACTTTGACTGCAATGGCTTCCAAAGTTGACTTGCTCATCCTCCTCTCCATACTTATTCATCCCAAATCAATTCTATTCTTTTCTCCCAGCAGCAAGATTCACAAGTTTTCTGCAAAGTGGAAGTTTCTGGTGAGGGACACGTACAAGGCTTGAGGCGGGAGGGGTGTCCCACAAAATGGAGAGATGTGGGGAACATGATGTACAATATTGAACCATCCCTTTTCCTACTTAACTGCATTTTATCGCATCTAGAAACAGCCCAGAGATAGATCAATGTGTTTGTGATTAGGTTATTATGCTAACTCAATTTATTTAGTAGAATATTAACAGGAAAAGGGATTCACCTTCTTAAAAGGGCACCGAGATAAGCACACTGGTGGTTCTGTTAAAGAGCCACGCTTTCAAAAATTGACAAAGGATTTTAGGCTCCTTCAGGGAAGTACAAGAGGACTTTGCTCCAGGCCCGTTCCTGTTCTTTAAAAATAAAAAATCATTAAAATTTCTACCTTGCCTCTTGTGACTTACAAATGAATAAACAAGAACAACTGCAATGCAAAATGGTAAAACATGCAAGGGCATTTTAACACAAGTCTTACTTAAAAACAAACTGATAGAGCAAGCAGTTCTAAAATTAATTTTCAGTTCTGAAATCGAGCATCTGTCAGCCCAAAAGACGCCTTGACGATTCCCCCCCACCACCACCACCAGTTTGAAGAATGACAGGTGGAGGGCACTGTGATGTGAAAGGAAAATTGCCAGTAACGTCTTCTGCACATCCCATTGAAATGAACGGGAGCTGCACGGGGACATGTTAAAAGCAAGAAGCTGGGAAGCTCACAAGCAGAGTTTGAAGGCGATAGCTCTAACTCATGTTTTGCAGCAACATATTCAGATATACAATACCTCTGAATGTGGAGTTTCCATTTAGGTGTCATGCCAAATAGGTAAAAGTAAAGGGACCCCTGAACATTAGGTCCAGTTGTGGCCGACTCTGGGGTTGCTGCGCTCATCTTACTTTATTGGCCGAGGGAGCCGGCGTACAGCTTCCGGGTCATGTGGCCAGCATGACTAAGCTGCTTCTGGCGAACCAGAGCAGCGCACAGAAACGCCGTTTACCTTCCCGCCGGAGCAGTACCTATTTGTCTACTTGCACTTTGACATGCTTTCGAACTGCTAGGCTGGCAGAAGCTGGGACTGAGCAACGGGAGCTCACCCCGTCGCGGGGATTCGAACCGCCGACCTTCTGATCGGCAAGTCCTAGGCTCTGTGGTTTAACCCACAGCGCCACCTGCGTCCCGTCACGCCAAATAGCCACTAGCAATTAGAACCTTTAAACTGCTCATGTTCATGGCTACAACAAACAAGCCTTTTCACTCCACTTCCCTCTTGCCTGAGTGGTTCTTGTGCAGTCAACAGCTACGTCTGTAGAATCAGGAACAGCAGGACATAGCTGACTTCCTATGGTAAGCATGCAGTTGTGCAGGATGGGGGCACTGACCCAGGGGTCAGCAAACTTTTTCAGCAGGGGGCCGGTCGATATTTTGAGGGGGAGGAGGAATGAACAAATTCCTATGCCCCACAAATAACGCAGAGATGCATTTTAAATAAAAGGACACATTCTACTCATGTAAAAACACACTGATGCCTAGACCGTCCACAGGCTGATTTAGAAGGCAATTGGGCCGGATCCAGCCCCCGGGCCTTAGTTTGCTTACCCAAGGACTACACTCTAATTTTGTTTTATCCCATGCCCCTTTGACAGTCATTCTGTGGCTGGGGCCTTCAGCACCATCTCAGAAATTGAAATGTGTTCCCTGGTCCAAAAAGGTTGGTGACCTTTGATGTAGAGATGGCTGACAATGCTTGGATGGCCACCTGTCATGGATGCTTTAGTTGAGATTCCTATATTGCAGGGAGTTGGGCTAGATGACACTCTTACAATTCTGTGATTCTATGACCTAGGCGGAACCAACGTTTCTGATTTGGTGTAGGCCCACGTCTTATGTTCCCACACAAACGTACAGTGTGGGAGGGACAATGGACAAAAAATGCCTATAAACCATGAGTTTCGTCTTCTTGGTCACACTCTAGCATGACCAAGAAAGTTTCTTAAAACTGAAAATCAGTGGGCATGGTTTTGAGTGGAGAGGCAGCTCTTAATCCTTTCCTTGCCAGTGATTATTCTGCTTAATGTCAGTAACCCAAACTCTTTTTTTCTCCTTTAAATTTCCAGATGTGCCTTTATTCTTGTAAGCATGCATCTGTAAAGGCAGCTAAGGCAAAGAGGAGGATCTGGAGAGTGAAAATGGCCTACCATGGAAGGACTGAGCGCCTCCCCTCCCTGTACAGTCAAAAGCACGTCCTTTTGAGAACTTTTTATTTGCAAAAAGCAACTACCGAGGCCTTCTTACACACGTTTGCAGGCAACGTGACACTTTACCCTCAAAATAAATTGTTAATGGATTGTAAGCCTAGTTTCTTCCGCCCTCTCCTCTTTTCTAGGTGCAACCGCCAGCATGGATTTTTAATAATAATACATAGTTGTGAGACAATCTCCATAAATCTTTTTTTTTTTTTTTTAAAGAATGCATTTTGCTAATTCTATCAGTTCCACAGAGCTAATGGTTTTCCTCCTTTTATATCTGCAAAGGCCAGATAACTTACTTACTCAATCGCCAATTTGTTGTTGCTGCTTTTTAATCACACACTTATTTTGTACAGTACAGAACGGGATGCGTTTTACTGAAATTTTGCCAAGGGTTTAAACACGGAGGTGCTTCTTACGAAGCACGGAACATGTTCCCAACACTTTTAAAAACAATTATGCTACACTAAGGTCAACAGTACAGGTCTTGGTGGGATGAATCCAGCACTGCTTTCAGGGTCAAGACTTGCCTTACTTTCCCTTTCATTCAAACAAAGAGTCGTACAACAGTCAAGGGAAATTCCCTAGCCAGAAAAAGATGTTTGGCGGGGGGGACGGACGGACAGAGACGTGTTCAGACAATATTGATCGGTTTATACTTAGCTGGCAGAAGGGCTAAATGACTCAATCCAACGTATTGTGTCAAAAGGAAAATAGATGTTCTTAACATGGGGAGGTTTCTGGAGTGTGCTCTTAGCCACTCAATTCCATTTATTGCTCGTGTCAAAAGTTAACACTTGAGCGCTACTCGTGTTACAAAAGGAAATAAGATGTTAAGCAAAGGCAAAGTGAGCCAGGATAGTAGCAGCAGTAGTAGTAACAACAACGGCACAGGTATCAGTATAAAGGAGAGACAGGATGGGGATGGTAATTAAAGGCAGGTGAGTCTTATATGAATGGTCCATGGTTCTTGTATTATTTGTTTGTTTTGCTTTTTTATAATCTGCCCTTCTATTAAAAAAAAATCAAGGCAGTTTACAATGCACAAGAATAAAACCAATGAGCTTTTTTAAAAACAACAACAACAACAGTATTTCAAGGTGCTTTAAAGCACATGAGAATAAAAATCAACCAGGTATCCATAAAATCATCAATAAATGCATACAGTCGTACCTCGGCTCCCAAACGCCTTGGGAGTCGCACGTTCCGGCTCCCGAACGATCGAAAACCAGAAGTGAGTGTTCCGGTTTACAAACATTCTTTTGGAAGCCGAACATCTGCTGTGGCTTCCGATTGGCTACAGGAGATTAATGCAGCCAATCAGAAGCCGCACCTTGGTTTCCGAAGTCAAACAGACTTCCAGAACGGATTCCGCTTGACTTCCAAGATACAACTGTATTTATTTAACTGCCCACCTCTGCATAATTCCATCCTTATTTCAGACATTGTGATATGCAGCTATGTTTAGCTGGTGGTGTATCACGATGCCGAAAACCAAATTATCACCCAGCCCTCACACAGATCGTGATTCGCGATATCTTGCCAGGTCAGATACTATGAAACAGTTATCACGATATGGGCTTCAAACCGGTTTTGGACGGTAAGTTGCCCAGCCCTGTACCTGAGATATTTAAACAAGAGATGGTGGGGATTAAATCAAGGGATCTTTCTGAATGAAAGGAAATTGCTTTGCCACTAAAGTAGCATTGACAGCTTAGAGGGGGCAAGGTTATGTAAAGCTCCATCTGTCTTGATGGCAACATCACCAACATCATGGCGTAAGAATGAATGCCTTGAACAATCTTTCCAAAAATGCAAAGCGAGAGGAGCTGACTCAATGAAGTTTAAAAATTATAATTCTTCTGTAATGGCATTTGGAGTATAGCACACTTGGCACTCCATATAGCATCTTGCTATATGGAAAGGCTATGTATTCCAGTAATTAAAAACTGCTCAGCACGACGTCAAATCCAGCCTCCCTTTTATAGCTCACGTACCACTAAGCCAAGAATTTAATATAACCTCGGATGAATGGTGCAGGCAGCTCCTCAAGAGATCTGTTCCATAGATAAGACATCCTTTCATAAAAATGGAAGCTAAAAATAACAAAGGTAGGGCTGGCTGGTTGTCACCCCCACCACCACTCCCCCCGCCAGCCAAATCTTCATTTTTATTACATTTTCCTTTCAATGAAACTCTATCTCGGCAGTGGCAAAACATACATATTTATCAAACTCCTTCAAACGGTAATGATAAATGAAAGCACCCTTCAACTCAAATATACCTGCAGAAGCATTTGGAAAGACTGAAATGAGATGCAGCTTGTCTCCAGCAATGTGTTTACCCTACTCATCTCCCCAAGATGAAACAGTAGCAGGAAGAGATCACCGCCGCCGCCTCCTTCTAAAGCTTTTCTTAGTGTTATAAGTTCCCAGCACAAGTTAATTTGGAGCCGCAAATAAGGCCTTTCACCTCCTCCCACTTCCAGCCCCCAAATTGGAAAGTTTCTATTTCGATTCATGCAAGCCCATCTTTGAGGCCATTTCAATCGCTACTGTCGTTTAATATAAGAAAATTTAGAATCGTGTTATGAAACCTCTGTGCGGGCTCAGAAGAATTCAATCTGCCCAATTTATAATCATTTAAAATCCCACCTTTGCTTAATGGAATTTCCAGCTGTTTTTTATCACTTAAGTAGGGGATATAACTCTTTAAAGCCCGAGGGTAGGTTAACACTTTAAAAACTTCAAAATCAAAAGCACTTCGATCAACACCTACAAACCTTCATGCACCGGAAGCAGCGACTTTTTGGCTAAGCAGTTTGTGGCCTCCACATATTTCCTAGACCAGGTGGTTAAGGATCTATATGTTTCCCTTACCCCTGCTTGAGGTGAACTTTAAATAAGAAAAACTTGACTCTTGTTAAGGAGATATACTTTACACGCAACTAATTATCTAGGAAACAAAAATATGGACAGACAAGTTACAGAATCTGGCACTTTCAAGGTCATGAAATCTAGATCCCTGCCGTTCTTAGATCAAACAGGAGTCTGTGAGTGAGGCTTCATTTGACAAAAAGCCGTGTCACCCTGACATCAAAGTGACAGGGCTTCCCACCTGACAAATTTGGCCCACAACGGCAGAAAGAATGAGGGTGTAACCCCCGCCACCAAAAAAGATTCCCCATTCCTGCTTTAACACTAAGATGGTTCTCTAAAAGGTAAAATTAAAGGGACCCCTGACCATTAGGTCCAGTCGTGGCCGACTCTGGGGTTGTGGTGCTCATCTCACTTTATTGGCCGAGGGAGCCGGCGTACAGCTTCCGGGTCATGTGGCCAGCATGACTAAGCCGCTTCTGGCAAACCAGAGCAGCGCACGGAAACGCCGTTTACCTTCCCGCCGGAGCAGTACCTATTTATCTACTTGCACTTTGACGTGCTTTCGAACTGCTAGGTTGGCAGGAGCAGGGACCAAGCAACGGGAGCTCACCCCATTGCGGGGATTCGAACCGCCGACCTTCTGATCGGCAAGTCCTAGGCTCTGTGGTTTAGAGCACAGTGCCACCCGTGTCCCTCGAGTTCCCTACCCCACCCCAACTCCTTTGCTTAACATCCAACCTGACAACAAATCCTGCAGAACTCAAAAGTTTGCTGATTATCTAGTGACATTATGAACAAGCTTTATGGTCACCTAGGGACAGAGTGCCACAAGGGAGGAGGTCCTATGGCTATCTTCTGGGGTAGGGTTTTCCAGACAGAGAACTCTTTAAAGGTACTTGTCATCTGAAGCTGAATCTCTGGACCATGTACTTGCGAACTACGCTACCTTTACACAATGCAAGTGTCAGGACTGCAGCTCAAACAGACTTCTAAATGTTTTCACTGCCTTTTTTCCTAAACCAGACCCCAGAGTGTATACAGCGCTGTCTGGCTTTCATAATCAGCTTGGGATCTTGATGTCTGATTAAACAGTTTGAATTAGTCCAAACAGAAACTTTTTTCATCTTGTGCTTTAATAACAAATGAAAAAATTATCATAGGCCTTTGGAGAAAGAAATGCATTCTGTACTTCAACCACAGCAACCCGTGAATGACAACTACATACATAAAGACTGTGCTCTGAAACCAAATTAGCAAGTGTGCTGCGTATATTACAGTGTGGGTATCCAACTCAGTGGGCAGAGAGGGCCACAACGTGTATTTACTGGGGAGCTGGTATGCTTGCTCCCTGCTTCTTGAAAATTCCCAGCAGGGAAACTTGGTTGTTGTTGTTGTTGTTGTTGTTGTTGTTGCATTTATATCCCACTCTTACTTCTGAAAAAACTTGCAGGACTTTTCTCATTGCATGCTGTTAAATTGGGGGAATCTACTATTTTGCTATCCTGCACTCAATGGTTTCATATAGATGCTAAACAGCATGGGGGATCAAACTGAATATAATAATTTATAATAATAATTTATTATTTATACCCCACCCATTTGGCTGGGTTTCCCCAGTCACTCTGGGTGGCTCCCAACAGAATGATAATGATGATAGGGAAAAAGATCAAACATTAAAAACTTCCCTAAACAGGGCCTTCTGGCGGTTCCCTCGCTGCAAGAAGCCAAGTTACAGGGAACCAGGCAGAGGGCCTTCTTGGTAGTGGCGCCCACTCTGTGGAACGCCCTCCCACCAGATGTCAAAGAGAAAAACAACTACCAGACTTTAAAAAGACATCTGAAGGCAGCCCTATCTAGGGAAGCTTTTAATGTTTAATAGGTTATTGTATTTTAGTGTTCTGTTGGAAGCCGCCCAGAGTGGCTGGGGAAACCCAGCCAGATGGGTAGGGTATAAATAATAAATTATTATTATTATTATTATTAACAGGGCTGCCTTCAGATGTCTTCTAAAAGTCAGTGTTTATTTCCTTGACATCTGATGGGAGGGCGTTCCACAGGCAGACGCCACTACCGAGAAGGCCCATTTCCTGGTTCGCCGCAACCTCACGTCTCGCACACTGAAGACTCCACAGGGCCAAGCATCACCCTCTGGAAACGACCATCCAACTAGGACTGAAACCACTGCAAAGCAGTGCTGCCCACTTCTAACTTGGACACTCGTTCCAGAAGGATACCTTGGCCGGTGGTTATTGAAAACTGCTGAGAGGTCAAGGAGAAATAAAAGGGCCACATTTCCCGTCTCTCTCCCAACAGATACCGCCAAACAGGGCAACCCAAGCAGTTTCTGTGCCCAATCTATGACTGCACATAGGTGGCAACAAGGTCAGGCCTATGTAGGTGCACTGTGTAGTTCTGGATTGGGTCCACTGGTGGATTTGCACAGACCCAACCTTACTGCAGTCTCATCCCTTCTGACGGGAGGCTTCCTGCTCTGTCTCTGCCCCACCAGGCCAGCCACTCCTGCTCCCACCATTGCTGTCTTTCATCTACGTTGCCGAGGGCAGATCCAGGCCAACAACATCTGGAAGGTTTCCTTATCTCTGCTATAGATCTCCAGCTTTTAAGGGTCCTTTATTCACTGGCACAGAAGAAGCAGACAAGAGGAAGGGGAGGCGGCGGCGAGTTCACACTGCCGATCCGCAGCTCGTCTCGGGGCAAAGCTCAATGCAAAGGCAGCTCTTAATGAAATTTCTGAAAAAAATGCAAACTAATGCTTCCTAATTTCCTCACTTAATCTAATGTCACAGCTGTCCCATTAACGCCAGCAGCTATTAGATACTTAAACAACCAGCTTGTTGAACTGCAATTTTATCATATGGCTGTATCCCTCCACTCCTTCCTTCTCCCGGTTTTGATAATGTTCCATAATGGCAGTGAGGGGGTAATTTAAATCTCTGAAAGCCATCAGACCCATAATCATCTCTGGAAAATGAGTACATTTAATGCATTTTGCATAATAAAAAAAGGACACCTGATACAAGCACAAAGTTCAAACATCAAGCCGGCTCACCCTACTACAGCTTACTTCTACAGTAATTAACGTTCCTTCTGAACTGCCCTTTTTTATTAAAAGAAGCCAAACAACTCCATTGAACAAAACACATGGAGAACAAGACACCCAGTAATGCTTCCTCCACCCATCCCAAAGCCCATTTGGCAGAGTCTCACGTTTTTGATGGGGTCAGGAGTGCACCGACTGTCTCAGCGCCACCACGACCTGCATAATTTACAGTTATCACAACATAATACACAGGCAGTAATGGAGTCACCGATAGGCCACCATTTGCTTTTCAGTAAGAAGAGGGCAGCAGCAAAGGAAAGCATGTGATTTTGTGTCTCCACTGGGATAGATATAACTGAGCAATTAACTCTTTTTCATGGCTATGGTGATCGACAGATAGGATTTCATTGCTGCTGAAATAATTAAAGAAAAGCTAGAACGCATTCGTTCAGTGCCCAAAGCTTAATATCCAGCACCTAATTTTTAAAGCCCTAACCAAGGCCCCTTGAGACAGCCTTTTTATTGCAAATACGTTATTTCCCTCCCATGATGTTCTTCGGATGGTCAAATGCAATCCCACTTTCAATGTTGCTTGTGCATGACGATTTTGGGGTGGTCACACTTCTTGGTTTCCAATCCGTGCATATCTCATAACATCCCACAAAAATCCCGTAACTTTTATTCTTCTTCAACTTTCTATTGAATGGAATGCTGTAACTTCTTAGACCACAAACATTCTGGTTTGTTTTTGTCCTACTTCAGCTGCACTGTAGCCTCTCCAGAAAGCAATACTGTGGTAGCATTGAGGAAGCACCTCAGAACTTAAGTCTACCACTAACAAATTATAGCTGCCTCGAGAATACGTTGCAAAATATACCCACAGTAAAACACAAGTCTGGAAGGACCCCCATCTAGCAAATTTGCACACAAAAGAAGCTTCTGTGCCTAGATTTACTTTACAGGAAGAGAACTATCAAGCATTGTGGGTTCCGATGCTTATCTGCCTTGTGAAGTGAATCCAAAATTGAACCATCTGGTGTGGCTCCCATTTACACCACCCAATGTGGATATCAGTGCACACTTCCATTACCCTGAAGGGTTAACATCCATTGGCTAAGATTGAGCATGGTTATATACAGAACCTAGTTCTACTCAAGAGTAGACCCACTGAAATTAACGGACTTATGTTAGTCATGTCAAGGAGCTTCAATGGGTCTCCTCTGAGTATGCATAATATTAGATATAATCCACAGAGACTGTACTTGGATCGCCGAGACACCTGCAACTTTTCTGATTTGGTTTGCAGCAACACTTACCCGTTTCCTCATCTACGTTGAACCGTCCAAGCCCACTGCCATCTCGGATAGAGTACTGGATCTCGCCATCCCTGCCGGTATCGTCATCCCTCGCGCTCACTTGCAAAACGCTTGTTCCGATGCGCGAGTTTTCCTTTACTGATCCAATGACGGCAAAGTCGGAAAAATAAGGGGTGTAGAGGTTTTCGTTCACATCCACGACTTCGACTTCCACAAAGGAAACCGAGGATAAAGAAACGGGGCGGCCTTTATCCTTTGCCCTCACGGTTAGGTTGTAGAACTGTTGCTTCTCGTAGTCGAGTTCTTTGCTTAGGCGGATAGCGCCACTGGCTTTGTCGATTTCAAACCTCCCATTGTAATCGTTCACCAAGGAATAGCGCACTTGTCCTCCAAGACCAAGATCAGGGTCTTGCGTTTCAAGCCAAGCAATGACAGTACCAACTGGCAGATCCTCCAGGACCTTCACACTATAGCTAGGGGGAATGAATGCTGGGGAACAATCATTGACGTCATCCAAAAAAACATTCAGAGGGACGACAGAAGACTGCTGGTGCCCACTCTCTGCTCTGTCTCTCGCCTCTATCTTTAATGTATAATTTGCCTTCGATTCCCTGTCTAAATGGTCCCCTGTGTATACTATTCCTGTGGAGCTATTGATAACAAATTGCTGCGTGTCTGTCAATATGGAGTAAGTCACCTTCCCGTTGGGCCCCAAATCTCTATCTCTGGCCTCTACCTGGATAATTTCCACACCGATACCAGTACTTTCCAACATATTAACCGAGTAGCCTTCCTGCAAAAATAGAGGTGCGTTGTCATTTGCATCCTCTATGGTTATAGTAAGTAATCTCCACGTGGCTTTCTGGGGGCTACCTAAGTCATAAATGGTAATGTTCAGGAGATATAGCTCTGTTTTTTCGCGATCCAGGGGCAAAAGGACCTTAAGCAGCCCTGTCTCCACTTCAAGGTTAAAGCAGCTGTCTGTATTGCCATCTGATATGGTGTACAGCACTTTCCCGTTAAAGCCAGAATCGGCATCATAGGCCTTGATTTGGAATATGGTGGCCCCAACGGGAAGGTCCTCTCTGACGGATACGTCAGAAGGAAAGGATTTGTCAAAATGTGGGGCCTGCCTGTTCACGGAATAGAAATCCAGGAAGCCGTCTTCGGAATTTAGCTTCACGTTGGCTTTAGCCTTTTTCAGCAACTTCTCCGCCAGCCTCTGAGCAACTCTGGTCTCTCGGCAGCTAAAGGTTTTAGAAGACACCTTCCCATGAACCACAGAGATGTTGACGAACATGGAATCGGCAAAATTCTCCCCGTCGGTTGCTGTTATCCTAAGTCCAAAGTTGTTGCTCTTCACGCCGGCGCCAGACAGGGACTTTTTGAGCTGCAGAACCCCCGAGTCTGGATTCAGATAGAAAAATCCCAGCTCGTTACCCGAAATTATTTTGTATTTCACAAGCTCCAACTCGTCTATATCTATAGCAGAGACCGCTGTGATGTGCCCGCCAACAGGGAAATCTGATGAAATCACTCCCTGACAAGCCACCTTTTCAAACAACGGCTTGTTATCGTTTACGTTGCCTATGTATATTGTGACATTCACCTCGCTTTCGTGGCGGTAAGGCGAGCCCCAGTCTGAGGCCCTAACAATAAACCTGTAGCTCTCTGGGGAGGACTCAAAATCCAGCTCTTCAGATGTGCTAATAACCCCCGTAAACTGGTTGATGGAAAAGGGGAGCGAATTTAGACTAGCAATGCTGTATGTGATGTAGCCGTTTTCTCCACGATCCTTATCAAAAGCAGAAACTGACAAAATGCTAGTACCCACGGGGACGCTTTCGTTGACATAGGAGCTATACGAAGGTTGTGTAAACTCTGGGATGTGATCATTGGCATCTTCTATCCTGACAGTAACATGTGTTTTCAAGTATCCTTCTTTGTTCGTTACTTCTAAGTCGTAAAATTCCTTGTCAACAATTTTTAAAGGGCGTGCAGTGGTAATTAGACCTGTCCTGGGATTAATCTTAAAATACTCTGCATCCTCGCTGGGAGACAATTTATATCCTTCGCCCTGCAGTTCTGGGGTTAGCTTAACTATGGCAACGACTACTCCGGGAGGAGAGAATTCACTGATGGCCACATCATATGTTTCCTTTTCGAACTTTACAGGGCTGCTTCCTCTACTGGGACTGGCAATATGTACCAGTTTCACAGCCGAAAACTTTTGAGGGGACCCTTTGTCTTTTGCTTGGAGCGTAAGATTGCAACCATATGGGAAATGGTCCCAATCAATGGGCTTTTTCTCTTTGATTTTGTACTCGTTCATCCATCTGCCATCCTTAGTCAAGTGGAAATGTTCCAAGGGATCTCCAGCAACAATAGAAAGAGATTCTATCTCACCGTTGGCACCTTCATCTAAGTCATCCACATTAACAATAGCATATGTAGGCTCCTTGTCCGAAGGGAAAGGAATGTGGGTTACGACATTGATAGTTGGGGCGTGCTCATTTATGCGCTCAATATGTATGTAAAGTTTGGCAGTGCTGCTTACGCCGTTGTTACCATAGAGTTTCATTCCACGGTCCACAGCCAAAACTTCAAGGTCATACCTGTTTTTCTCATCGTAGTTTAGCCGGCCACTTAAAGAGATGACCCCACTAGTTGGATGGACAGAGAAGAGGTCGACTTTATTTTTAAAGTAGTAATAGAATTCACCGTTGGAACCAATATCAGCATCTGTTGCTGTAACCTGTGCGATGCTAGTTCTTAGAGGAGTGCTTTCTGCTATGGTTACGGAATAGGTGGTTGGTGAAAACAAAGGCCGCAAATCGTTCATGTCTAAAACCTGGATGTTCACTTTTGTCCATGCTTCCAAGTCTTCTCCACGGACAGAGCCCTTTATTATCAACAAATAGTTGTCCTGGATTTCTCGATTCAATATGGCAGAATTCCCACCTTTAGTCCTTATCCTAAGGAAACAGAAATCAGCTATTACAACTTCCTCTGCCTTGAAAAAGCCTTCATCGTCGCCAGACACTATCCTGTATTTGATATCCCAAGAGAGGTCCGCCATAGTGATGCCCATTCTACTTTGGCTGTTAAGATAGGTCCGTGCCGCAGAGTTCTCGTACACTGTGGTGTTGTATATGGAATGTGTGAAGTGGAAGCCAAATGGCATTGCCCCTTGAAGGCCATGGCAGACGCTGGCCAAAAGCTGAACAAGCAGGAAGACTAGGCCAGGCGTGGGGGCCAAAGGACCTGACCAATGGCCCATATTTCTCTCCATCACATCATTCTTTCATCCTATAAGAAAAGATAGGCATTGATTAGTGGAAGACAAATATTTCACATGCTGCCATTATTCAACTGTGTTTATAGAGTATGTAATTTTTTTATATAAAAAAAATTCAGTTCCCAACATTCTGCCCCACTCTCCAAATAGTCTATCACATTCTAGAGCAGCCTTTCTCAACCTGTGGGTCCCTAGATGTTGTTGAACTACATCTCCCATCACCCCTAGCTAACAAGGCCGAGCTCAGGGATGATGGGAGTTGTGGTCCAACAACATCTGGGGACCCACAGGTTGAGAACTGCTGTTCTAGAGAAACCTGAACAACCCATGTTGCAGAATAGCTGGTTGACCACAAACATAAATCAACTTTCGATGAGCAAATATGACAGGTTTACATCTTGGTGGGTCACAACCTGCTCAACCCGACTCTAGCATGAGTGAGATCTTCAGCTCCGACCATAGATACCTATAAATAAGCTGTAATAAGGGGGAAAAGTCTGGGAGATATATGGGAACCTCCTCCAGCCAATGAGACCACCAAAAGCATGGGTGAAGTTCTACCTTCAACTGAAAACGCATCCTTTATTCTCGCATGCACGAAGGACTGTCATTCACTCACATGGGGAAAAGCAAAGAGCTGAACTTGCTGCAACGTTGTGGTGGTGCCAAAACCTGCCCAGTAACCCTGGCTCCTAGCTGCCCTGGCCTCTACGAACAAAGTGCACTGCAGTCATGTACAGAGAGTGCATAGGACTGCAGCCCCAGACCTTCCTAAAATATATGTACAGGAGAGGTGTCAGTACCTATCACCCTTGAGTATCTACTGAGGGTCCACCAGTGCTGATGCCTGCTACAGATTGGGCCCACCCACCTGCACATCCCAGTTGCTTCTACTTATCAGAGATCAACTGCAAGCTGTCCAACATTTTAAATTATCTGCAATCCTCCTAGGCATTTAAATATAATTTGGATGATGGGAAGCTCACTACTGTTGCCCAATGGCACTGGTAAGCCCACTGTTGCTGGGGTGTGGGTGGGCATCACCAAATGTTGGGGGCATCAGACACAACTTGGGGGCGGGGGTCCACAAACCTGGATCTGACCCTGACCATGTACCTTCCCTTGCCATATAATGTGTCCCACATAACGATGGAACATTTTTCCTAACAAAAATTTAAATGTGACTTCGAAGGCTGCCATTCCAAACTTTTCCCTAGGATAAATTCTCCTGTTTAAGTAATCCCCCTGTGTGGGGTTTTTTATGCTATTAATTTCAGGAAAATATTTTTTCTGGCCTATAAATAACGACAGCCAATATTTCACCAAGACAGCGTGCTCTTCTTATTCAATTTACAAAGGATATGCTGGACAAAGAACAAATCACAGGTTAGGTTGTTTGGTGAAAAGCACCTTGTTCCCTACTGATTCCTGATGCTTCCCTGAATCTCGGACACTCAGTTATCTTGTTCCATGAAACAAGCTAATGGACTTCAGTTATGAAAACACCCATCGTTTGCTATACACCATGAACGCTCATCTATGACACTGGCAGTGGAGTGGCCATAATTTTGGTGAGACTTTAAAACATCAAAAATAGCAGGGCGCAGAAAAGAGAGGACGCTGCCTCTGATAAGAGTGGAAATTTCTATGAGCTGCGCACAATTTTTTATGGCATGATTTCAGACCACAGGCGTCCTTTCAAACTGAGTATAATTCTGTAACTCTGCTGCTGGTTTTTAAATACTAGTGGAAATCGATTTATTGCAATGATGTTACAACACTCCCACAAAGCACCTTAGCTCCGACCCCAGTCTATATTCAACTGCAAAGCGCATTAATCAATAATACCTGATCAACTCTCCTGTGTGTTTCGTCAAGACATGCAGCTTTTTCAAACTGTTTACTTTCATACATTACTCCTTTCTTCCACCTTGTATTGATCCCTGGCAAGTCTGAGCAGCCAGGAACCTCACAGCTTTCAAGGCTCCTTCGCTGGTGGTATCAGGGAAAGCGACAAGTATAGCTATGTTGTCAGGCAGGTTGGACTGGACTAAGAAAGCATTCAGGGAATCATAGAGCGGAACAGACCTCAAAGGTTCTCTAGTTCAACACCTGACAGGGCAGAAAATCTACTGCTACAACATCTCTGACAGGTGGTCATCCATCTACTGCTAAAAAGTGTCAAAAATGAAGGCAAGTCCACCCCCTTCTGGGACAGCCTGTTGCACTGTCTCACTCAGGGTATCGTGGACTGCTTGGATGTAGAGGAAAGGTGGGAGGAACCAGGTGGGAAACCACCAAAGAAAGATGGCACAGCCCAGGGCGTGGTGGTAGGACAATGAAGTGGGAGAAGATTGAGGGGAGGAGGTGTCTGAAGCTGAAGAGGCAACAGGACTTAGTGAGCTGGGAGAGTCTGTGGCAGAGAGAAGTCCAGAATCAGAGGCAGAAGCTGAAGCAGAAGATGGGGATGAGGGAGGCCAAGACACAGAGATGAGTCAGGCTAATGAAGAGTCACGGGTGTCTTCGGCTGCAGCAAGATCTTATCTCTGCTTTTAACCCAGAACCAGAAGAGGCATGAAAAGGGTGGAGACAGGGTTGCACGCAGGCAAGGTCTCAGATGCTTGGGGAAAGCCCTGGTGAGAAGGTAGGGACTTTCAGTCTCTGCAACTGATTTTCATGGAGGAAGACCACTGGGAATGAGCTGCTCTGTTCATTAGGCCTGAGAATCAGTCAAGTCTGTGGAGACTGTGTTTTTGCTGATAAAGAGTTAGCTCCATCTTTGAACTGTGTGATTACTGACCAGCAGGGCTGCCAACATGGTAGTCTCCAATTGCTGTTGGACTATAACCCCAATCATCCCTAGTCATGCTGGCTGAAGCTGAAGTTGGATTGCAACAACTTATGGAGGGCAACACATTGGTTCCTCCTGGTCTAGCTGCTCATGTCATTATCAAGTTCTTCCTTCCATTAAGCCAAAATCCTCTTTCTTGCTATCTGAATCTTGTTTAAGGTCCTACCCTCTAGGGAAACCTGTATAACTCACATTAAATAGCTGACAGTGAGACAAATATTTGGCAGAAACTGAACTGAAACAGTAGGATAAAAACAGTGCTGACAGTAATGCATACAGATCGGAAGGAAAATCGCTGCCTTTCTACATCCCTAACGTTCACAGAAGAGCATTTTTAAAAAACTGCATTTCTTTATTTTGGGGATTCATACCCAACCCTTCAATAAAATTCCCACGGCAGCCTAGTAAATTTCAGAACACTGAAAACGTACACAAATATGCACAAAATAAAAATAGCAAAATCAATAGCAGCGGCAAAAACAATAAGCCCAGCCAAGAGAAAACAGAACAGCATGCCAGAGACTAGCTCATTATTGGAATTATACAGAGAAACTGCTCCACCAGCTAAGCAGTGTACAGGGGGGGAAATCCACTTTGTTCCCACCATCACTGACTTGATGACAAGTAACATGTGAATTCTGGGATGTCACCAAAAACAACAACCGGCCTATGGTCCCTTCTCCTTTCTGCTATAAAGGAAAGAGATCAGGGGGAGATTGGCATTAGTTAACCTCCTCTGCAGCTGCCAAGAGACATGGACCACGGAGCTGGAGATTCACAATGGGGAAGTGGTAAATTTGTTCCTACCATTACTGCGGACCTTGGGCCATCTGCTACACAGAGGACATTTTTCTCCCTACCATCTTGGTGGCAAATACAATGGATGTTCCTGGCCTCAGCCATGAACAGAAGCACCAGGTCTACAGAGGCCAACTTCTAAGGGCCGAGGTCCCTTTGCCCCCCCCATAAAATATTTGAGGGGGCTGGGCCCCCAAAAGTTGATGGGCATTGCCATTCAAATGGTGTCCATGGTCCATCTGACCAGGGGTACCAACTTGAATAAAATATTGAGGGCAAGGCTTACCTCCCCCCCACCCAATATTTTATTCAAGTTGGCACCCCGGTCAGATCACAGGCTTCCATTCTTATAGTAGCCAAAGGGCTAGGCCTTGGAAACATAGTTGGGATTGGGGATATCCAACATGGTGCCCTTCAGATGTTGGTAGACTAAAACTCCAGCATCCCTGACCACTTGGCATGCTGGCTGGGCTGATGGGAGTCCAATAGCATCTGAGCAGAACCGGGTTCACTACACCTAACCAAAACCTTGTTTTCAAGGTTTAGATGATAGAAACTGTTCCGAAACGGACCTGTGGCATCAGAAGATCTGAGTTCTCGACTGTTCAGCCAGGCAAACAGGATTCTTTGAGGGAACAAGAAGAACATATGTTTTCTGCAGGCTCTTTCTTGTTGGTTATTTGTTTTATAGAGCCATGCCACGTTTAGAAGGCCGGAAATGTAATGTGATAACACGCAGCCCATTACAAAGGAGCAGAACGTGGACGGGCAAAAATCACTTCGTAAACATTTCTGATTTTGGGAAGAAGAAAACCCGCTCAACTAAATATTATGGTTTCAAGTGGGAGATTAAGGGTGTGATTACTTGTGTGCGGTTTTAAAACATCCAAGCAGGAAACTACTTAGAACGGCGCGGGTTTCATTAAAAGGGGTGGGTGGGCATGAGCTCTCGTTTGTGCAACTGTGTTAATTAAAAATGGAAGTCATGCTCCAAATATGCACAGCACCAGCCAAGGTGACTTTAGTTAGGCGAACAGCACCCTTTGACAACAGATACTAGTCTCTCGCAGTGCTAAGAAAGCTCTGAAGCCATTCACCTTGTAAATGCAAATTTTCCAAGTCCAAGACAAATACATCATTACCATACTGATGAAATTTAGAGCTATTTCCTTGCCTCGGTATATCAGCGGCGTGTAACTTCACCAACGGTTACAAGAAATGCAGGCAGGCAAGAAAAAGGTGGGGGGCGGTCATCAATGACACTACATGAAAGGACAATATAAGCCAATCTTCACATTCTGAAAAGGACCACCTACTCAGATACATTTCCTCAATTAGGATGCAGTGACAGCCCACGGTTTGATATTAAGAGTACAAGGAATGGGGAGCCTCAGATCTACGTGCTTCTTCGTCACCTTCCCTCTCTCAGCATGCAAGCGGAGATCAGAAGCTTCCCTTTTTACTTTGCAGCACAGTCGTACCTTGGTTTTCGAACGTCTTGCGACTCAAACGTTTTGGCTCCCGAATGTCGCAACCCGGAAGTGAGTGTTCCAGTTTGCAAATGCTCTTTGGAACCCAAATGTCCGATGCGGCTTCTGATTGAGTGCAGGAAGCTCCTGCAGCAAATCAGAAGCTGTGTCTTGGTTTTCGAACCTTGCCAGAAGTTGAACTGACTTCTAGAACGGACTGCCAAAGGTTGCAGGCAGCTTTACCTGCAGCAATTGCATGTTGATTGCCCTCTTAAAAGACAAAGTCCAGCAACTGGAGGAACGTGTAGCTACGCTCCAAAGAATTAGAGAGCTGGAGCTCTTCTTGGAAGCAACAGAGCACACCGTCTCCACCAAGGAGGAGACAGGGGACTCCCCTGAGAAGGACGCTAGTTCACCAACACAGGAGCCAGATATATGGAGAAACGTGACTCAAAGAAGTAGGAGGCCCAGGGTTCGCTCTGATTGTTTAGAAATACACAATCGCTTTGAGGTCCTCTCCCTAGCATGGAAGACGAAGAGCAGACTCCATTTGAGGATCTCCCTCATTACAGTCGATCAGGTATATGAAGACGAGCAGCAAAGTCAGTCCTCAGGGAATGTGCAGGTGACCTTGGAGCGGACAGCTCACGGAAGAACCCCGACCAAACCTAAGAGGAGGCGTGTAGTGGTGATAGGGGATTCCCTACTGAGGGGAACAGAAGCAGTGATCTGTGGGCCTGACAAGATGTCTCGGGAAGTGTGCTGTCTCCCGGGGCTAAGATCCAAGATGTAACTGAACGACTGCAAGGAATCATAAAACCCACTGACAAATACCCCTTCCTCTTGGTTCATGTGGGAACCAATGACACTGCAAGCAATAGCCTCCAGAAGATCAAAAGAGACTACGAGGCTCTGGGCAGGAAATTGAAACAATTAAATGCACAAATTGTGATCTCATCTGTCCTCCCAGTTGAACGACGTGGCCCAGGGAGAGAGGGGAAAATAGTGGAAGTGAACAGCTGGCTTCGCAAATGGTGTAAACAGGAACGGTTTGGATTCTTAGATCACGGACTGCAGTTTCTTGAAGATGGACTTCTGGCAAGCGATGGGCTGCACCTCACAACGGTTGGGAGAAATGTTTTTGCCAAAATCTCAGAAACCTCATCAGGAGGGCTTTAAACTGACTAATGTGGGGAGGGAGACAGTGCTCCTGAAGGTAGGAGTCTATCAATTGATGAAGATGATCATCCAAATGTCATAGACCAAATGGAGCAAACAGCACACAGACCTAGTGGTGGGAGGAAAAATCCTTAAATAAGAGACACGGGGAATGATTAATGGACTTCAATGTCTGTACACTAATGCGCAAAGCATGGGAAATAAACAAGATGAGCTTGAGCTCTTGGTACAGCAAACTAAATATGACATAATAGGCATCACTGAAACCTGGTGGGATAAGTCCCACGATTGGAATGTAATAATGGGGGATACAATCTATTTCAGAGAAACAGACCAGACAAGAAAGGAGGAGGAGTGGCGTTATATGTCAGGGATGTGTATACCTGTGAAGAGATCCAAGATTTAGAACCTCAAAGCCAAAGTGAGAGCATTTGGGTCAAAATTAAGGGAGAGAAGAATAACAGTGACCTCATTGTGGGAATTTACTATAGATCCCCAAGCCAAACGGAGGACATAGATGATGCCTTCCTGGAACAGATGGCCAAGCATGCAAAAGGAAGGGAGATAGTAGTAATGGGGGACTTCAATTACCCGGATATTTGTTGGTTGTCAAACTCAGCCAAGAGCATAAGGTCAAACAGATTCCTCACTGGCCTTGCAGACAACTTCATTGTCCAGAAAGTGGGAGAAGCAACAAGAGGAACAGCCATTTTAGATCTGGTCCTAACCAATGTTGATGACCTGGTTAGTGGGGTAGAAGTGGAAGGATCATTAGGTGCGAGTGATCATGCTCTTCTGAAGTTTACTATACAGCGGAAAGGAGCAGCCAAGCATACTAGGACTCAATTTCTTGACTTTAAGAAAGCTGACTTCATAAAACTTAGGGAAGTGCTGGGTGAGATCCCATGGACAGTAATACTAAAAAGAAAGGGAGTTCATGATGGCTGGGAGTTTGTTAAGAGGGAGATACTAAAAGCACAACGTCAGGCAATACCAATGAGACAGAAACATGGAAGGTGCCTAAAGAAGCCAGGGTGGCTATCTAAAGAACTTTTAACTGAGTTAAGATTTAAAAAGGATGTGTACAAAAATGGAAAAGGGGGAAACCACCAAAGAGGAATTCAAACAGATAGCCAGCACGTGTAGACACAAAGTCAGAAAAGCTAAAGCACAGAATGAACTCAGGCTTGCTAGAGAGGTTAAAAGCAACAAAAAGGCTTTTATGGGTATGTCAGTAGCAAAAGGAAGAACAAAGAAACAGTGGGGTCACTCAGAGGAGAAGATGGTGAAATGCAAACAGGGGACACAGAAAGGGCTGAACTCCTCAATGCCTTCTTTGCCTCAGTCTTCTCCGATAAAGAAAACAATGCCCGACCTGAAGAATTTGGAGCAAATGATTCAGCAAAGGAAACACAGCCCAGAATAACTAAGGAGATAGTACAAGAATACTTGGCTAGTTTAGATGTATTCAAGTCTCCAGGGCCAGATGAACTGCATCCAAGAGTATTAAAAGAACTGGCAGATGTGATCTCAGAACCACTGGCAGTCATCTTTGAGAATTCCTGGAGAACGGGCGAAGTCCCGGCAGACTGGAGGAGGGCAAATGTTGTCCCTATTTTCAAAAAGGGGAAAAGAGAGGACCCAAATAATTACCGCCCAGTCAGTCTGACATCAATACCAGGGAAGATTCTGGAGCAGATCATTAAGCAAACAGTCTGTGAGCACCTAGAAAGGAATGCTGTGATCACCAATAGTCAGCATGGATTTCTGAAAAATAAGTCATGTCAGACTAACCTGATCTCGTTTTTGACAGAATTACAAGCCTGGTAGATGAAGGGAACGCAGTGGATGTAGCCTACCTTGATTTCAGCAAGGCATTTGACAAGGTGCCTCATGATATTCTTGTAAAGAAGCTGGTAAAATGTGGTCTTGACTATGCTACCACTCAGTGGATTTGTAACTGGCTGACTGACCGAACCCAAAGGGTGCTCATCAATGGTTCCTCTTCATCCTGGAGAAGAGTGACTAGTGGGGTGCCACAGGGTTCTGTCTTGGGCCCGGTCTTATTCAACATCTTTATCAACGACTTGGATGATGGACTCAAGGGCATCCTGATCAAATTTGCAGATGACACCAAATTGGGAGGGGTGGCTAACACCCCAGAGGACAGGATCACACTTCAAAACGACCTTGACAGATTAGAGAACTGGGCAAAAACAAACAAGATGAATTTTAACAGGGAGAAATGTAAAGTATTGCACTTGGGCAAAAAAATGAGAGGCACAAATACAAGATGGGTGACACCTGGCTTGAGAGCAGTACATGTGAAAAGGATCTAGGAGTCTTGGTTGACCACAAACTTGACATGAGCCAACAGTGTGACGCGGCAGCTAAAAAGCCAATGCAATTCTGGGCTGCATCAATAGGAGTATAGCATCTAGATCAAGGGAAGTAATAGTGCCACTGTATTCTGCTCTGGTCAGACCTCACCTGGAGTACTGTGTCCAGTTCTGGGCACCACAGTTCAAGAAGGACATTGACAAACTGGAACGTGTCCAGAGGAGGGCAACCAAAATGGTCAAAGGCCTGGAAACAATGCCTTATGAGGAACGGCTAAGGGAGCTGGGCATGTTTAGCCTGGAGAAGAGGAGGTTAAGGGGTGATATGATAGCCATGTTCAAATATATAAAAGGATGTCACATAGAGGAGGGAGAAAGGTTGTTTTCTGCTGCTCCAGAGAAGCGGACACGGAGCAATGGATCCAAACTACAAGAAAGAAGATTCCACCTAAACATTAGGAAGAACTTCCTGACAGTAAGAGCTGTTCGACAGTGGAATTTGCTGCCAAGGAGTGTGGTGGAGTCTCCTTCTTTGGAGGTCTTTAAGCAGAGGCTTGACAACCATATGTCAGGAGTGCTCTGATGGTGTTTCCTGCTTGGCAGGGGGTTGGACTCGATGGCCCTTGTGGTCTCTTCCAACTCTATGATTCTATGATTCTATGATTCTATGATTCCATTCGAGATCTAAGGTACGACTGTACACCCATCTGCCTATTCATCCCTATACGGTGAACAATGGATTGCACAAACCATTGTTCTTCCCCCCAAGTCAGGGCCCCAAAACACAGTATGGTTTGAGATAAACTAGGAGGAGAAATTTCTTATCTCCTTCTGCTACTCACGAAGGAGTATAAGGGCACAAGTGAGTTTAAGATGTGCCACTCCTCGTTTCTGAAGGCACAAACCATAGTCTGCAGTTATGTCAACTGAGCCAACTAGGCTAGCTCAAAAGATGGCCTTCCACACATAGAAGAAGGTTAGAAGAAGGGCTACAATACAGAAACATAATAAATAAATAAAATAAAATAAAATAAATAAATAAGTTAGTTATTGGTATGAGCTTTCATGTGCATGCACACTTCTTCAGATACACTGAAACAGAAGTCACCAGACCCTTATATATATACCGTATTTTGCGCCCCATAGGACGCACCGGCCCATAGGACGCACCTAGTTTTTTGGGGGGGAAATAAAGAAAAAAAAATTATTTCCCCCCCAGGTGCGGGGCTGGAAGAACCAGGTCGGGGAACAGCGGGAAGGCGCGCTCCACCTCCCTGCTGTCCCCCGAGCTTGTGGGGCTGGCGATGGGGAGAAGTGCGCTGAGCCCGGGACTGGAGGCAGCTCTGCGCAGCCATCGGGAGCCGGGCGGGACTTCGCGCCCCGCTCCCGATGGCCGCACAGAGCTGCGCTGAGCCCGGGACTGGAGGCAGCTCTGTGTGGCCATCGGGAGCCAGGCGGGACTTCACGCCCGGCTCCCGATGGCCGCGCAGAGCTGCGCTGAGCCTGGGACTGGAGGCAGCTCTGTGCGGCCATCGGGAGCCAGGCGGGACTTTGTCCCGAGGGTTGCGCAGAGCTTCCTGAAGCCTGGAGAGCGAGAGGGGGCGGTGCGCACCGACCCCTCTCGCTCTCCAGGCTTCAGCAAAAGCCTGCATTCGCCCCATAGGACGCACACGCATTTCCCCTTCATTTTTGGAGGGGAAAAAGTGCGTCCTATAGGGCGAAAAAATATAACAGAAACATGTGAATATAGTGAAGCTAAATCCGAATGTGCTGCTTATTGGTGCAATCTCTTTCACAAGCAGAAGCATGGGAAGTGCTATTAGAACACTGTGTAAACATTTGCACAAGCTCTTAGAGAAGGCTACTAGCGGCTATTTTTTCTTCCTTCTCTAAGTCCTTTCATTTCCACACAAACAGCCATAGCTCCAAGCATGTTGCGTAAATCCCATAAATGCTCTTGGCATTAGCAGGTGGATCAACCTCTGCTCAGGTATTCCAAAGGGAACCGTATTTATTTTGGAGGGTTTTGTTTTTTAAAGTATCTATGTATCCACACATCTCCCAAGGAATAGAAAGAAACACACAGAGCCCCACTTCACCATCCACACTACAATAACATTACCCTGAGAAACTGTAACTTGTCCATAGACACTTAATCTAACTTTGGTTCAGCTGCAGCTCAACAGAGAGTCCAAATATAAAATTTATCTACCAAAAAACCACACACACACACACACACACACACACACACACCCCTATGTATCAAGCTCATACATGGGGAACCAGCCGCCCTTCAGATATGGTGAGATGATAACTCCCAGATTTATCTCGGAGACCATCAGCAACAGGTTCCCCACCCCTGTGATAGACAATACGGTAGGAGGCGGTTGGAGGATGGATGGCGGCTAACAGATTGAGGTTGAATCCTGACAAGACAGAAGTACTGTTTTGGGGGGACAGGGGGTGGGCAGGTGGGGGGGATTCCCTGATCCTGAATGGATCAGGTGCACAGCCTGGGAGTCATTTTGGACTCACAGCTATCCATGGAGGCATAGGTTAATTCTGTGTCCAGGGCGGCTGTCTGCCAGCTCCATCTGGTACACAGGCGAAGACCCTACCTGCCTGCCTGCGGACTGTCTCGCCAGAGTGGTGCATGCTCTAGTTATCTCCCGCTTGGACTACAGCAATGCGCTCTATGTGGGGCTACCTTTGAAGGTGACCCGGAAACTGCAATTAATCCAGAATGCGGCAGCTAGACTGGTGACGGGGAGTGGCCACTGGGACCACATAACACCAGTCCTGAGAGATCTGCATTGGCTCCCAGTACGTTTCTGAGCACAATTCAAAGTGTTGGTGCTAACCATTAAAGTCCTAAATGGCATCGGTCCAGTATACCTGAAGGGGCGCCTCCACCCCCATCGTTCAGCCTGGACACTGAGATCCAGCGCCGAGGGCCTTCTGGCGGTTCCCTCATTGCGAGAAGTGAGGTTACAGGGAACCAGGCAGAGGGCCTTCTTGGTAGTGGCGCCCACCTTGTGGAACACCCTCCCTTCAGATGTGAAGGAAATAAGCAGCTATCCTATCTTTAAAAGACATCTGAAGGCAGCCCTGTTTTTAAAACTTGATTGGGAGCCGCCCAGAGTGGCTGGGGAAACTCAGCCAGATGGGCAGGGTATAAATAATAAATTATTATTATAATACTTTCTCTGTGTGTGCATCTGTCTGTATCTCTCTCTCTCTCTCTGTGTGTGTGTGTGTGTGTGAGAGAGAGAGAGAGAGAGAGAGAGAGAGCGCTTCCTATCTTCAAGGGCAGAAAGACATTTTTTCCAACTGTTGCTCATAAAAAGATTCCTAATGCATTCATATCCTCAAGAGACGGGGGTTAATGTATTGTGTCTGACTTCGACTAGCTGAAACTTCAGATCGTTCCAGCTCTAAGACTCTAGGATACTATTTCCTAATCATGCTCGTTAACATTCAAAAAGTGGCCTTTTTAAGTTCAGAGACCAGGGTCTTCAAATCAATAATTTAAAACGTCAAAGTGAGCACTTGGGTACTTCACTCGGCCACCCGACAGAGTCTGGTGACAGAATGCAAGCAAGCTGTAGAATTTTAAGTCCTTGTCAAACGCTGAAGTCTAAATAACTCAATACAATGTGATGTGCCCACAAAAGTGACAGGGACTCCATATGTCCTAAATCTCCATGTGTCCTAAATCCACAGCGTATTCTTTTGCTCTTTTCTTTTCCAAAGGCTGAGCGCATTCTGAGCATATTCCTAGCCGTCCTAACTACACTGCCAAATCCACGGCCCTGTGAGCTACGTATGTAACATGTAAATAAAGAGACACCAGTAATTTTTTTGTTGCTATCTTGCCTTTTATATGCCTGTTGTCTCTGTCCATGGAGTTTTCTTGGCAGGGATACTAGAGTGGCTTGCCGGTTCCTGCTCCTAGACAGCATCTTAAAAAGCAGAGACATCACCTTGCCAACAAAGGTCCATATAGTTAAAGCTATGGTTTTCCCAATAGTGATGTATGGAAGTGAGAGCTGGACCATAAAGAAGGCTGATCGCCAAAGAATGGATGCTTTTGAATTATGGTGCTGGAGGAGACTCTTGAGAGGTCAAACCTCTCCATTCTTAAGGAAATCAGCCCTGAGTGCTCACTGGAAGGACAGATCGTGAAGCTGAGGCTCCAATACTTTGGCCACCTCATGAGAAGAGAAGACTCCCTGGAAAAGACCCTGATGTTGGGAAAGATGGAGGGCTCAAGGAGAAGGGGACGACAGAGGATGAGATGGTTGGACAGTGTTCTCGAAGCTACCAGCATGAGTTTGACCAAACTGCGGGAGGCAGTGGAAGACAGGAGTGCCTGGCGTGATCTGGTCCATGGGGTCACAAAGAGTCAGACACGACTAAACAGCAACAACAACAACAACAAACATCTTGCCTTTTCAGAATATGCTGCATGGGCTCAAATGTGCATATTCCCTTCAAAAAAATTCTTTTGCATCACATCTACAATTGCTTTTCATTTCCACATGCCACAAAAATGCTTGCAAGCTTGCTCCCTGGTTTGGGAGACTTATCTGATTCAGCAAATATGCTGTGGAACAGAAAAGCGCGGATATTTTCAGCGTTCATGCATAAAAGGAAGTATCACAGGAAAATCTAGAAGCTGCCCTAGACTACCAGGAAACAAGTTTAGATGATTTTAGCAAAAGACACCCCACAACACACTGACCAGGAAACAAGCCCCTCCAAGATGCACAAAATATAGTAAAGGAAAAGGCAAGGACAGAGTGACATGGCAAGTAGGACTGAGGAAGGAGATTTGATTCAGTTCACATTTAAAGGCCAATCTACCCAACTTGAACTTTCCGAAATAATTTGTGAACTAAAAAAACCCAGTCATCTTCCAAAATTCACACTTCTCCAAATTTTGCACTGCGGTTCTTCAGACATGCAATGCATGCAAAACTCCGTAAGGTAAAGTGTGCTTAGAAATGCATCTGCTGCTCTCACCACCAAAGGAACACAAGTGAACAACACAAGCAACGCTGACACCAAACATAAATTAAGCATAATAGAAACATCGCCACCCGACCCCACCCCCATCCATCTTCCCTCCCTCCACCCCCTTTCTCCCCCCTTTTTTTTCTTCTCCCCCTAATGTCTCAACAAATGAAACCGATTTGTAAAAATGTTACATGGAAAAAAAATACGAGGTATTACACTTACTTCTGTAAAACAAGAAAATCCTTAATAAAATATTAAAACAAGAAATGCATCTGCTGGTGAAAATAGTGTGTAAAACTGTATTATTTCAGCAAAAGATGCTTTGCAAAAGTATGTATATTGGCCAAAGCTGTGTACAAAAATGTGTGCACCTTGCACTAAAATGCTGGTGAATCTTCACAAGACTTTTAAAAAGAAAAGTCATCGTGAACTGATGTAGAAATGTAAGAGAACTAAACTTAAGGTGAAAAACTGAGAAACGCCACAATTGACAGATTCACCCATCTTTAATCACAAGACATGATATCGTTACGCTACAATGGTGGTTTCAGACTTGTCCCTGCATAGGTTTCTTTGTGAAAAGGAAAGAGGCGAATGCCTTCAGTCAGAAGCAAGAACCTCAGAACAGGAGAAAACTAGTTCAAATTATGATGATCAAGTCCCCAGTGTAAGTTGGCACGGCCTCAGTAGAATGGCCACTCTTCAGGTGCCCAGAGTCCCTGCCTGCTTCATCTAATGGGCAGCTCCCCACAAACTCACTCCTTCATAGGTGGGAATATGTTGGATGGAATCTCTACTGCAATTGTAGTTGTGGCTGTCACTGCGACCATCACCAGCTCCTGCAGAGACCAGCTCTTTCTTTCATCCCACCCCAATATCCGCTGGCTGCAGCAGAACTTGTTCAGCCCCAGGAAAGTGTCTAAAGATGCCAGCTCACCAGCAGTCCCAATACCACTCCTGCCCCGGCTGTGTTTAATTCTGACCAGGTCAGGTGCGTTGTGGGGTAGGGTCAGCATTAGAAATTAGCCAGGCACATTTTGCACTTGGCTATCGGCTGCTTGCGACCAAGTGAAGATGCCAGGGTGCCAGGATGGTGCCTGACGTCTCCACCATCTGGAAGTGCATGCCTGGGGATCCTTGGATCTTGACTGTTTTCCCACGCAAGCAACACATCCCGTAGAATTCTATCCGTTATATTTTATCTGCACAATCAAAATGAATTTCAGGAGCCAAAAAGTCGTATTGAAACTGTTATGTACTGAGTTGAATAGGATCCAAAATGCAGCAGTCTGATTGGCCCTAGAATAATAGGATCCAGAATGCAGCAGTCTGATTGGTCCGCAGGAGCCACCCAATCCAGCTCCAGTTGGAAGTGAATCCGCAACCTGACTGGCCTACAGGAGAATCCCGGAATTATGTACCGTATTTTTCGTTCCATAGGACGCTCCGTCCCATAGGACGCACCTACTTTTTTGGGGGGGAAATAAAGGAAAAAAATTTTTCCTTTATTTCCCCCCCAAACCAGGTCGGGGAACAGTGGGATGGTGGCGCTGCGCCTCCCCGTTGTCCCCCGAGCTTGTGGGACTGGCCGATGTCTGCCTGGCGTGAGGGGCGCTCTGCTTCAGGGCGCCCCATGAGCTGGGCGGCAGGCTGCAGACACCTGCGCGAAGCACGGGGCGTCCTCCGGAGGGCGCCCCATGCTCCGCGCTGCAGGGTGCCGCCCGCAAGCCTTGCGCTCCCGGGGGAAGATCCCCCAGGTGCGCAAGGCTTGCAGACACCTGCGCGAAGCACGGGGTGTCCTCCGGAGGGCGCCCCGTGCTCCGCGCTGCAGGCTGCCACCCGCAAGCCTTGCGCTCCCGAGGCAGATCCCCCGGGTGCGCAAGGCTTGCCGACACCTGCGCGAAGAACGGGACGTCCTCCGGAGGGCGCCCCGTGCTCCGCGCTGCAGGCTGCCGCACACAAGGCTTGCGGACACCTGCGCAAAGCATGGGGCGTCCTCCGGAGGGCGCCCCATGCTCCGCGCTGCAGGCTGCCGCCCGCAAGCCTTGCATGCCCGGGGGAACTCCCCCCGGGTGCGCAAGGCTTGCAGATAGCTTCCTGGAGCCTGGAGAGCGAGAGGTGTCGGTGCGCACCGACGCCTCTCGCTCTCCAGGCTTCAGCGAAAGCCTGCATTCGCCCCATAGGACGCACACACATTTCCCCTTCATTTTTGGAGGGGAAAAAGTGCGTCCTATAGAGCGAAAAATACGGTATATAAAGCAGACACTCTGAGGGAACTTCCATTCCTCACTACTATGAGCTGAATAAAGAGCATGAAATCCACACTCGACTCCGAGTATATTATATATGACTTTTGAGCCGTCTGGCCCCAAAATGGCAACTAGTCATTCCGTTTTGGCAACTGGTTTAAGGAACCATTTGGTGCTTAGCTTATATATCTTGAGTTTTGTACGGTGTGCACTTAACCACACTTAGGATGGGCTGTCTAACACTGCACATATTCCGGGCATACAGCAGGCTTGACAATATTCAGCCTACAAAGCCCAGAACACATCCCCTCCAGCTCTGTATATTGGACCACCAGGGACTTGAGATGCCTTCTGGTTCAAAGGTCTACCTGGGCCTGCAAAATCTGCAGTGCAGCTTTACTTGGTTTTGCAGCCTCCCTGGGTGGGCAAAAGTGGCTGCTCTCCAAAGCCTGCCAGGTTTGCAATGCAAGCTGGCAAGCTGTGCTTCTGGTACAGAAATGTATATATATTCAGCCTCCATGACAACTTTAAACTTTACACAGACGTGGATATATATTAAAAGCCTCCACCGCAGTAGCATTCCTCCCTTACAGAAGCTGACGCTTGTGTCACACAAGAGTAACTACTATGGGCATAATACATTTCTATATGTCATTTTCTAAAAAGGAAGCCTGAAACAGCTTTTGGCATTCGAAAGCTGGAAGCTTTATGAACGGAATTTCAATAAAGCCAAGGCGGCTGCAAAAAAAACCTCCATTTTGCACCTGTCCCAAGAATTTATGTCCAAATGATATTGTAGTATTATCTGTGCTTTCTACGCCTCAGAGACAATGACTTTATTTTATTAAATGAACTGGGAGATATATTGCTCGTCTAAAAGAAAAATGTTTATAAAGGAACCTCAAGGAGCCTTCCTATGCAGGAGGCAGAAAGCTACTGCTTGCTTATCAATAGCCTTTGCCAAGAGGCCATCACGGAAGTAAGTTTTGAGAATAAATGCTGACACAGCGGGTTTTATGTGTGGGCTGGTTCAGATCTGGAAGCTTAAGAAATACAGTCCCTTCATGGGGAAAGGTATGTGTGGACAGCCATTTGCCTGGAGGGCATCTCAGATGAAAATTGTGCCATGTATGTATATGTATGTATGTATGTATGTATGTGTGCATGGATAGATAGATAGATAGATATAGATAGATAGATATAGATAGATAGATAGATAGATGATAGATAGGTAGGTAGGTAGGTAGAGAGAGAGACAGACAGACAGACAGACAGACAGACAGACAGACAGGACTCCTTTCCCATGGAGCAATTTATTATTATTATTATTATTGTCTTACTTGTTTGCTGTAGTTGTACATACATTCCCTATAATAATTCCCTAAAATCTTTTGATAAAGGGTGGTATATAAATGGAAATCATAATCATAATCCCATTTTCAGTTGTTTAGTTGAGGGTAAATGTGGTGGGATCATGGCCCCAGGACTTTTTTTCTTTTTTTATATTTTATTTATGATTTTCAGTTTTATATATTTCAATAATTTTACAATCATTTTGACGTTTCAGAATTTGACTTCCTCCCCCTTCCTTTCTGCAGTTCCTTATATTTATTTTTCATACTTCTGCATATCCAAATTAATTTAATTTGCTCATTTATTCATCTGCTTTAAATATATGCTCTTAAAAAAACCTGCAGGTTATTACAATAATCCTGCCAATTTTCTTATCTGTTAACAATTTCTTTGCAAATATTCCATAAGCCATTCCCAGGACATTTTTTTCCCCACAGCGTGAGCTATGGCATCAGTGGCAGAAGTACCAGAGAAACCAAAGTCTCTGCCCAGAAGCCAAGGCCAGAGGCAGATGGGCCACAGAGCTTCCTTCCATCCACGTAGGGACCGTGTCTTGCGATGGAACCATCTATCGCATGATCAACCCTGCCGTGCCTCAGTCCTCCAACAGGAGGCTGAGAGGGGTATATGCCCAAATCCTACCTACATCTGGAGCCAATAAAGCTATGGCCACATTTTTTTTAATACCGGAACGTTGTCTTTTCCAGTTTGTTCACCTTCTCCAAACAGGCCTTGCTCCCGGGGGTGGGATTGCAATGTGTTTTGCAAGCTGAACTGATGCAGTCGGTGGTAAGCGCCACTAAATTGAGTGGCCCTTACTCCTAAGAAACTGTCCATAGGATTACAATCAAGCTTCTCACAGGCATCTGGTTGGCCACTGTGAGAACAGGATGCTGAACTAGGTGGGCCATTGGCCTGAACTATGTTCTTCTGCTGTTCCTTATGTTCTTATGTTGACCGTACTAAATTGCTATGGTGATATGCAGTGCTTAGGGATGTAGGGGGTGTGTGTGTGTGTTATAATGAATACCACTTGTTATCCAGTTGGAGAACAGCCTTTACCAAAGGTGTCATGGACTTTGAAGCCACTTGAACTCAGAACGCAAGGGAGAAATGTGCTAAGAGGAAGGCACGCTTGGCAAATCCACACCGTGATCAACTCCCGCCCGGGAACCAATGTCCCCACTGTGGAAGGATGTGTGGGTCCAGAAATGGCCTCCACAGTCACTTATGGACTCATTGTTAAAACCATATTTATGGAAGACAATCTTACTCGGCTACGAGTGACTGCCGAAGAAGAAGAAGAAGAAGAAGAAGAAGAAGAAGAAGAAGAAGGTATAATGAATCAACAGTGCTACCTGCATTTTTCAACTCTCCTTGGGGGCTATGAAGGTACGACTGTCATTATGAGCTCCCTCACAAATTATTTCTACACCACTGTCAAAAATTCCACATGAACCCTAGCTGCAAGTTCTGTGTTTTGCAAGACACTGCTCTATCAACCTCACCAATTAAATCTAAGAAGTCTTCAAGCTAGCACTGTGGGGGGGTTTTAGGACAGCCACCAAACTATGCACTTCCTTTCAGAATACGCTCACCTAAACATGGGATTACCACTTTCTAGGGAAAATGCAAAAATCCACAAGCCTTTGGCTAGCTATCAGATACATCGACAACTCTTTGCGTCCTGTTAAACAAGGTTCTGCAAATCCTCAGTAGCCCAATTCACTCCTTTCGGGGTGCTCTATCGTTCAGTATATATACCAGGGTAACTGTACACAAAGCAGTGCAAGACTTAATGCAGAGAGAAGACAAACCCTCTTTCATAATCTTCACACAAGCATTGACTTGCTTGGTTGCAACTCACGATTCACAGCATAACCCAAAGTTCCAACGCTTCCCTAAACAAACCCAAGCTTTCCACAGTGGCTCAAACTGCAGCCAGCTCTGGACTCAAAGCAAACTGCACAGATTAATTGCCAAAGTTAAGACTCCTCTCCCCCTGCCACCCTCTCTGGTGATGAGAATACAAAGCATTCATCTGCCTTCGCCTCCGAGCGTTCTTCTTCTTCTTCCAAAGCCCCAACTTATTGGAACGATTATAGCAAGAAAGCATCTATGCAACTCTATGCAAAAATGTTCCGTATCCAAGGAAACTGTAATGGTGAAATTAGAGAGTGCTACGTTTGCCGTAACTCCTAAATCACCACCGAGAATTTCCAAAGCTTTTGGACCATTTATTAGTGCGAAAACTGTCAATGCCACTGACGCCGTGATAGCTTAAACATGCTGCAAACCCAGGAAAAGGGGGTGGTGATAGCAGAATTGCTAACAAGGTACCTTTCAAGAAAGGATGCTATTGTTTGGTGTGTAGAAGCACACACACCCCGTACGCGCCTTAGCATCTTGTTACGGAGTTAACGGCAGGAAATAACACACAGCAGATGCATACATGAAACTGTTGTTGCCATTCTTTATAGCGTTACCCCCCCCATTTAAAAAAAACAAGAGAATGTGTCTTTTCGTTTCCAGAAACAGTTATAACACCCAAGCAAGTGGCAAAAGAGCATAATGATACGTTTCAGTTTGCCCACAGCTCACAAAGGGCAGCTGTACCATGACAATTTAACTCAAGGAAAACGGTGATGGGTCTGTTGGTTTTTACACGCTCTTTAGTGCTTTGGACCAGCCAAATGCAAGTTTTGCACCTTCCTTTTATATATACTTTGGCACTGTCACTAGTCCCCAGGTGGCCACAGGAGCCGATTGCCTTTTTCCAACTCCAAATCATTCACCAGCTATGGACGCTTTTGGACAGAGATGACTTGCCATGGTACTCCATGCTCCAAAGGGGCTGTCCTAGAAGACAACTCGGGAACTTCAACCAGCCCAAAATGCAAGATTCTTAGCAGGGGTTTCCTTCAGAACTCACGTAACCTGCATTCTAAAACAGCTACACTGGCCGCCAGTTTGTTTCTAGAACCGATTTAATGTGCTCTCAATGGTGTTTAAAGCCCTGAAAGACTTAGGTCCCCAAGTATCTGAAATACCACCTCCTTCCCTACAGAACAGACCCTCCCAGGTGCTAGGATCAGCAGAGGGGACCCTTTTCGTAGCTCCAGCTCACCCAGGCCGGCCCACACACAAGGCAGGGTGAAGCAGCTGCCTCAGACGGCCTAAGCCCCTGAAGCGATGTCAGCATCAGCGATTATTTCCGGCAAGATTTCATCGAAATATCAGGAGATCTCATGGAACTTGGGAGATCTTGCCAGAAATTGGTGCTCCCCTGCACCTCCCTCAAAAGTTTTTTTGTGGGGGCAGGAGTTAGCCCAGAAAAGGGCATTCTCTGTGTCAGCCCTTCAGTTGTGAAATTCAAGTTATTCGTTTAGTAGTAGTAGTAGTAGTAGTAGTAGAAGAAGAAGAAGAAGAATTTTATTAAAGTTATTCTATCCCATTCTATCCCAGTGTTATGAGAGCTAGGAGCTAAATGGCACCTTAAACCAAAGTCATGGGTGCAGAAACGGAATGTCTAAGCATGCATTTTAATAACAAGAGTACAAAGCTGAAATGTTATGTTCATTTTTCACATGGTCTAGTCCTTCCCTTGCCCACCTCTCTAATGTTCTTAAGAGGGTCTCTTCTCCAGTCGTCAGCAAGTAGCTAGAAGTGGGGAGGCAGAAAAAGGTCCTCCTTTCCTTCCACTCCACAGTTTTAATCTGAAATTTTAGGCGCAGTACTGCGCCCAGAGCTCAGAAACTGCTCATGCTAATGAAATTCCCTGTCGCAAAATGCGCCTAGAACAACGGGAGTTTCGAACACTGTTCCATCCATATAAAAGGATGAGTTAGATAGCTTAGGGCAGGGTTCCCCAAACTTGGGTCTCCAGCTGTTTTTGGAGTACAACTCCCATCCTCCCTAGCTAGCAGGACCAGTGCTCAGCGATCATGGGAATTGTAGTCCAAAAATAGCTGGAGATCCAAGTTTGGGAAACCCTGGCTTAGTGATTGCCATCATGCCTGAGTGGGGATTTCAACCCTGGTTGAAACTGTACCACAACGGCTCAAGGACTTCTTGTAAGAGCATTGTTGGGTTACTCTTCCAACCCACAGTTCCTTAAGCACACACAATATGGGTGGGGTATAAAATTATTATCATTATTATTATTATTAAAAGAGGACAGACTTTTAGCAGATAGATCACCTTTTCTTGCATCTTGGTACAGACTTGTTGCTTTGCATCTTATCTGGGAGCAGATCTGTGCATCTTGCACAAGATGCTCATGTTGCAAAAGGAACTCCAGATCTAGTGTGCGCTCCATTTTATATCGGCAAACTTTGCTTTCTTGGTGCAAAGTTCTCGTTCCAGATTAGCAAATGTTCAGCTTCAACAACTCTGCCCAGATGTTGATCCCACCCTGCAATCCGCTAAGCTCTTCCCTGCTGTTGCAAACTGCTCTTCATCTAACACACACCTCAATCCTTTGTTGTTCAAACAGGTTTCTTGATCCACTCAAGCTTTGCAACTCACCTTGACACCATCCTTGCTGATCTTCCCTTACTTATCTACTTTGTCAGATTTCAGGATTTTCTTAATCTTTTTTCTTGAAGACTGTACATTGTATACCTCTCTACATAGCATCTCTACACAGCAAACTTTGGATTTGTAAGATAGGAATTTACCCAGCTCATCTCTCGTAATATGTGAGCAGGTTGTTTGAGGTCCAGTAATATGACCCATCCCACACGGTCCCTCTCCCTTTCTCCTAAGGCTAAAACTACACATTACAGGGAGGTTTTTTTACCGGTTTGATTCGTAGGTTTTGGTTGGTTGGTTAAAAAAAGCAACACCAGCCTGGACAACTTGGAAGCCAAAACAGAAGCAGTATCATAAAGGAAAGCGTCAATAATGGAGAAAATTAACATAACCCTTTCCTTCCCAGCATTCAAATATCTCAGGGGCTATCGCTGTGGGTTAAACCACAGAGCCTAGGGCTTGCCGATCAGAAGGTCGGCGGTTTGAATCCCCACGACGGGGTGAGCTCCCGTTGCTCAGTCCCTGCTCCTGCAACCTAGCAGTTTGAAAGCACGTCAAAGTGCAAGTAGAATCAATAGGTACCGCTCCGGCGAGAAGGTAAACGCCGTTTCCGTGCGCTACTCTGGTTCAACAGAAGCGGCTTAGTCATGCTGGCCACATGACCTGGAAGCTGTCTGCGGACAAAAGCCAGTTCCCTCGGCCAATAAAGCGAGATGAGCGCGCAACCCCCGAGTCGGCCACGACTGGACCTAATGGTCAGGGGTCCCTTTACCTTTACCTATCACATGGAAGTGGGAACAAGCTTGTTTTCTCCCACTCTGGAGGGCAGGACTCGAACCAATGGTTTCAAGTTACCAGAAAGGAGATTCCGACTCAACATCAGGGAGAACTTTCTGGCAGCAAAAGCTGTTTGACAGTGGAAGGATCTCCCTCGGCAGGTGGTAGATTCTCCTTCCTTGGAGGTTTCTAAGCAGATCTCGGATGACCATCTGTCATGGATGCTTGAGCTGAGATTCCTGCATTGCAGGGGGCTAGACTACATGACTCTACGGGGCCCCTTCCAACTCTACAGCTGTATGATTTTTATGCTTCCGTGATTTATCTAGCTCATAATCATCCCCAATCTGCTTTTATTAGCATATGGTAAGGAGAAGGTGAGACCCGTTATCAGGTGAGTAATATTTACTATTTGTGTATCTTGTTTTTCAGTAAAAAGTAGGCACTCCCCAAAATGGCAGATAATTGCACTGGGCTTAAAAATAATTTTTAAAAAAAGAACTAAGGAGGGGGAAAGCATAAAATTGTAGGCTCATAAGTACATGGCTCACTTTAGAAAAAGGTAACCACTTACTCAAAAACAAAAATGTGTTTACTTGTAGATGCACATCTTCACTGTTAGTACAGTGGTACTTTGGGTTACAGACGATTCAGGTTACAGACTCTGCTAACCCAGAAATACTTCCTGGGGTTAAGAACTTTGCTTCAGGATGAGAACAGAAATTGTGCTCCGGTGGCGTGGCGGCAGGAGGAGGCCCCCATTAGCTAAAGTGGTATCTCAGGTTAAGAACAGTTTCAAGTTAAGAACGGACCTACAGAACAAATTAAGTTTTTAACCCGAGGTACCACTGTATTTTTAAATGCAAGACAAAACGCACAGTGCAAAGGATGATAAGAGCCAGTGTGGTGCAGTGGTTAAGAGCGGTAGTCTCGTAATCTGGGGAACCGGGTTCGCGTCTCCGCTCCTCCACATGCAGCTGCTGGGTGACCTTGGGCTAGTCACACTTCTCTGAAGTCTCTCAGCCCCACTCACCTCACAGAGTGTTTGTTGTGGGGGAGGAAGGGAAAGGAGAATGTTAGCCGCTTTGAGACTCCTGAAGGGGAGTGAAAGGCGGGATATCAAATCCAAACTCTTCTTCTTCTTCTTGATGTTCCCACAGTTCTCCTTGGAATGCTCTTGAGCAGATGACAGGTGAACTATGTTGGCATACAGTGGTGCCCCGCAAGACGAATGCCTCGCAAGACGAAAAACTTGCTAGACGAAAGAGTTTTCCGTTTTTTGAGTCGATCCGCAAGAAGAATTTCCCTATGGGCTTGCTTCGCAAGACGAAATGTCTTGTGAGTTCTTGCGAGTTTGTTTCATTTTTCTTAAAGCCGCTAAGCCGTTAATAGCCGCTAAGCCGCTAAGCCCCACTAAGCCGCTAATAGCCGTGCTTCGCAAGACGAAAAAACCGCAAGACGAAGAGACTCGCGGAACGGATTAATTTCGTCTTGCGAGGCACCACTGTATCTGGATGCTGTTCTCTTTCTGTGCACCCCAAGTCTTGTTGATCTGTTTAAAACTAAATGAAGTTGTCAATATGGACCACATAGCAGGGATAAAAACCTATATGCCTCTGGGTCTTATTGAACTCAAAACTCCCCACAACTCTAGCTAGTATGGCCAGTGAGTGGTTAGAGCTGATGGGAGCCTCTAGGGCAGGGGTAGGCAAACCAAGGCCTGTGGGCCGGATGCAGCCCAATCACCTTCTCAATCCAGCCCGCAGACGGTCCGGGAATCAGTGTGTTTTTACATGAGTAAAATGTGTCCTTTTATTTAAAATGCATCTGGGTTATTTGTGGGGCCTGCCTGGTGTTTTTACATGAGTAGAATGTGTGCTTTTATTTAAAATGGAAACTATTTGTATCTGAGTCTGCCCCCCCCCCCCGAGTTTTAAGAAACCAGAGGGAAGGAAACAGGATACCCCAAAAGTAATCCAAAAGACCACTTACCTTTTATTGTTACTCCATGTGATTGTGATATTTGGCTGCCTAATTAGTGGATTCGTTTATCTAAAAACAGACACTCATACAAAATACTAGCGGACCTAGAGATGCCTGGGATTAAACTTGAGACCTTTCGCATGCAAAATATGTGATCATCATGTTCCTGAGTAAATGAACATTCCCAAATACTACAATGGCATTTGACGTGCACTCAAAAATTACACCAGACCAACAACCCATCTTTCCAGGTCAGCCTAACATATAATGGTCAAGATGATGCCCAAAAGGCGTATGTTGCAGATACCTGACCACCTCCTGTTTGCATAGACTCAGGCAGGCAGCAGAAACAGACCCCCATGAGCCACCATATGAGGCTGTGAGCTGCATTTGGGTCAGCATGTCACAAGTTGCTCACACCTGGTTCTGTGTAGGGTTCACGGCCCACCATGGCATGTTATCAACAGCACCCATGCAATTTCGCCACTGTGCAACTGGGCTGTTGAAATCAGTTCCAAGAAGTAACTGATAAATGCTAAGAATTGCTGAAACATACACTTAAGACGGTGGACAGAATGGGAGAAAGCTTTCTGAGTTCCACTGACTTATACAGAGTGTGAAGGTTAAGCTAAAATACAGAAAGTCCAGGCGAAGCAGGACTAAGCTTGCAGCTTCCGGGTAAGAGCAGGACAAACCAACCAGGAAGATGGGGAACTGAGTTCGGGGCTGAGAATAGGTTTAAAGAAAGAGGCAGCACTTGCCTCAGATTTGCAGAAATAGTTTCTGAAAGGCACGGATAGTTCTGCCAGCCCATTTCACTTCACCACAGACTCTTCTTTTAAGTAAAGTTTGGTAGCAACTGGGTTTTGCTTGGCAAACTTGTTTTCTTAGTCCTCCTCTCTTGTCTCCCAATTCCATGAAAGGAAAACAGAGAAAAGGGAATTACCTATTCACCGGGGTGTTCTTCAAATTCAATCATTATTCTTGCACAACTTGGGAGAGAAACGTTTACCCAACTGAAAATTTGCAGGAGCAAGGGGGGAACCCACTGGGTTGTGTTCGACTAGGTATATTACTCAGAGTAAGCCCATTAAAATAGACCCATCTTAGTAATGGCTATTAACTTCAGTGAGTTTACTCTGAGTAAACGGTAGTTGAATACAACCCGTTGTCTCAGGGAAGAGGCACAGGAAGATCACCTTGGGCAGCTATCGTGTACTTAAAATAATGGCTTACGAAGAGTTTGGCCTTTTGCATTTCTGTTAAATTCTGCAGGAGAAAGTGGAGACTATTTATGGCACAAAAAATGGTTTTGCAGGCTCTGGAAATCACAACAGTCCTGGTCTCCCTTCCCCCTCAGTTCTGCATGGGCACCTTAAACCAACACACCATACAGCCCCTTCATTCTCATGCTAATAGTCTTCAAACAAGAGAGCCCTGTATTCTCTCTCATTTGGGCAGTAAGCCTGTCTTTAGAATCACTTTTCCTTGTCATTTTAAGCCACAGAGAAAACATGATCTGTTCATTTATTTGGAAGGGTAAGGGGAGGGGGAATAAGTGGGGAGCGATCCAATATCTGGGGGGGGGGGGAGGAGAGAGAGCAGCCACAAAGCTAAGAGCAATTTTCCATGGAGCCTGCTGCATTGCTGGGGAGCGATGGGAACGGGAACCGTAGTTCATCGACACCTAGAGGGTCAAAGGTTTCCCACACCTGACGTATTATGTCAGTGGGATGACGCCACAAACTTGAGAAGTGGCGTTAAGTCACTTATGGAGGAAGAAGAAGACAGCAGTTTAAGGTCTCTGATATTAATGCACTGATAAATCCCTAGCCAACCCTCAAAACTCTTTTGTCACGTTCTGCCCCAGAAGAGAATGTATTAAAAAATAAACCTCCTAGTTTTTCTGCACACATTCTTAACAACTGTGACATTGAAGACATGCGTGCCCTTCAGAGGGGATTTCCTTTCCCCTCGCACCTTGGATTTTGAAAGCACCGCAGATGAGAGCTTTCCCCCTAATCACTGGGCTTTTGGTAGACTTTCCACTTATTTAAAGCCTGCATATAGGCAAGGCTGGAAGCAAAGTCGGATTAGGAAAAGGAGGCTGTTCAGCTGGATTTCCTCCTGATCATCTTAAAGGAGATGATTTGAAAAGGGGTGCCTTTCCACATGGCACGGTTAAGCAAATTCAAAGAGCAAATGGAGCCCCTCTATCCCCAAAATAGTTCAGATGTGCATTTCGGATGTGGTCATATGCATGTTCCAAAAGAACAACACTTCTCAAAGTGTTTGGGCAAAATTCAGCAAAACTGAAGAACAGAGGAAGCTTCCTCACACCAAGTCAGAGCATTGGTTCATCCAGGGCAATAATGTCTACACTGACTGGCAGCAGCTCCCAAGTATCTCTCCCAGCTAAACCAGGAAGACTGAACCTGGGAACTCAGACATGCAAAGGATAATAATAATAATAATAATAATAATAATAATAAATCTATTATTTATACCCCACCCATCTGGCTGGGTTTCCCCAGCCACTCTGGGCGGCTTCCAACAAAGTATTAAAATACAGTGGTCTGTTAAACATTAAAAGCTTCCCTAAACAGGACTGCCTTCAGATGTCTTCTAAAAGTCTGGTAGTTGTTTTTCTCTTTGAGACCTGGTGGGAGGGCATTCCACAGGGCGGGTGCCACTACCGAGAAGGCCCTCTGCCTGGTTCCTTGTAACTTGGCTTCTCGCAGTGAGGGAACCGCCAGAAGGCCCTCGGCACTGGACCTCAGTGTCCGGGCAGAACGATAGGGGTGGAGACGCTCCTTCAGGTATACTGTGCTTGATAGGGCTTGATAGGGCTGGGTGATATATTGATATATTATCCAGAACCAATTTGAAGTCCATCTTGTGATATTGGTTTCATAATTTCTGACCTGGCAATATGTCAATATGTGTGTGCTATGCAAAAATCACAATGTGGGGAAAACTGTGGTGCCAGCCAATGCCTCTACATAGCTCCATCCTTATTTCAAACATCATGATGTTTGATTCCCAAAAATGAACAGTTGTATATTTCTGCATTGCAAGGGGCTGTAAAAGATAAAGGGACCCCTGACCATTAGGTCCAGTCGCAGACAACTCTGGGGTTGCGGCGCTCATCTCGTTTTATTGGCCGAGGGAGCTGGCATACAGCTTCCGGGTCATGTGGCCAGCATGAGTAAGCTGCTTCTGGCGAACCAGAGCAGTGCACGGAAACGCCGTTTACCTTCCCACCAGAGCGGTACCTATTTATCTACTTGCACTTTGTGCTTTCGAACTGCTAGGTGGGCAGGAGCAGGGACCGAGCAACAGGAGCTCACCCCGTCACAGGGATTCGAACCGCCCACCTTCTGATCGGCAAGCTCAAGAGGCTCTGTGGTTTAACCCTCAGCGCCACCTGCGTCCCAGTGCAAGGGGCTATACTACTAAATAATCCTCAGGATCCCTTCCAACTCTACAACTCTACAATTCTATGATATATGAGTATATTGCGATGTTTAGCTGGTGATATATCACCACGTTGAAAACCAGGTATCGCCAACCCTGCTGCTCAACCACTGAACTTCAACCCTTCCTGCGTGCCTAGCAGTCCAGCACCCAACGTTAGCAAATTTGGGAGGCAACATCTTGGTGCATGCTCATGTGTTGGCAGACACAAAGTGTGTGTGTCATCCTCCCCACCGACACACAGCAACACCTCCCGCAAATTCAATGAACTTGAGTGTGGGGGTGTCTGATCCACCCACCCTTTAGTTTCTGGTCCCCACCATGAAGTTCCCTCTTGAACGAGCGAAGAATGAGTGCGCAGGAAAGGGCAAGAAGGTTGCAAACCTTGTGAGATTTCTCCTAAGTGAGCGCCATGACAATGCAGGACCAAATGAATATCTGTGAATGTCTGGTTTAGCATAAAGAGATTTATTCTGCCCTTTCCACCACCCAGCTCGCCTGCTGTAGCAGATAAAACACCTTTCCCCCTTTTTCGTCTGATACTGGAGGGGAAGCTGCAAAATACACCTTCGATTGTTGTGGCCTATATTACTTCCTTAAAAACGAATGTATTTTACACACAACCCTGGATGTGCTACTTTACACAAAGCCTTAATTAGCTGTTATGAACGAGGGACAACTACACAATGACTTCTCCCACACACGGTCCAGCGCTTTGCCGCCAAAGAAGTCTCTCAACCAGGGATGCACAATGTAGAATAAACGCTGAGCTGATGCAGACCCTGGGGACGGGACCCACTATGCCTTTATTCTGTTTGGAATTGCAGCCACCTTGCCACAAGAGCTCCGGGCAAGTATCAACATCAAAGCCGAATGTCGGGAAAACCTATAAAGTCTATAAGCATTAAAGATGGGCTTGTAAATATGCACTGTCCTGGATGCCTCTGGCAAGGAAGAATCAACTCCAGAAGATCAGGCAAGTGGGGAAAAGGAAACGGGGGGAAAACACACTTGTAAAATTGGAAGAGAATTGGATTGGCTTATGGAGTTTATTTTTTACTTCTTCCAAGCAATCAGCGTGCCAGAAATTACTCACACGGGTTTATGTTGGCAGCAATTTGTGCACTACTAACTTTTTTTGTGGATTTATTTCCTCCATCCGTTTCCACATTTGCTTTCATCCTCCAAAGAACTCAGAAGGATCTACATGAGCTTTTATGGGTTTTCTCCACCCAGCAACCTAGTGAGGTAGGGAAGGCTGAGGGTCAAAGTCATGTACGCAACTCTTATCACCGTGTTGTTGTTGTTTTCGTGCCCAAATTCTTTCATTGCAACGTGGAAGCTGCAATGCAATCTGCAGGAAAAGACTCAGGAGAGTCAAGCCTCTCTGATCCTGAAGTTTTCCAGGTAAAAATCCTCCCCACCCCAAACTATGGGCAGCAAGAAGTCCTTTTACCACTCACCTCTGGACCAGTCTTCCTACACTTTAGTCACATCCATAGTAAAGGTAAAGGAACCCCTGACCATTAGGTCCAGTCGTGACCGACTCTGCGGCGCTCATCTCGCTTTATTGGCCGAGGGAGCCGGCGTACAGCTTCCAGGTCATGTGGCCAGCATGACTAAGCCGCTTCTGGCGAACCAGAGCAGCGCACGGAAACGCCGTTTACCTTCCCGCCGGAGCGGTACCTATTTATCTACATGCACTTTGACGTGCTTTTGAACTGCTAGGTTGGCAGGAGCAGAGACCAAGCAACGGGAGCTCACCCCGTCACAGGGATTCGAACCGCCGACCTTCTGATCAGCAAGTCCTAGGCTCTGTGGTTTAACCCACAGCGCCACCTGCGTCCCTAGTCACATCCATACTATACATTTAAAGCACATGGCGTCCCTTAGAGAACCCTAGGAACTGAAGTTTGTTAAGGGTGCTGGGAACTGTAGCTCTGTGGGTAGAAAACTGCAGTTCCCTGGAATCTTTTGGAGGGGGAAGCCATGTAGTTTAAATGTGCTGTGTGAATGTCAGTTAGCTAGTTAAGTTTGTTTCAAAATGACATTAAAGACAGGAAGGTTGCAAAGGGCAACGTCATGGGAAAACCATCTGGCCATCAGGGATGCCTCATAAGAGATAGTTTTGTAGCTCTGTATTGATACCCGGGTACAAAATAACACAGACTGAACTCCAGGACCGAAGCGTTTGCAGCGTAGATCTTTGTGTCTCCTGCGTCTCTTCCGCATGAATGGTGCGGTGTGTTTGGGGGAAGACTTCCTCTTAAAGGCGCAAGCCCTGCAAAACACACACACACACACACACACACACACACACAGCGTATTTCCCAACACAGCCCAGGCGTGTGTGTATTTTTGCAACCCAGGTACAAAACCTATCTGTTAAGAAGGTATCCCCCATGCACCAAAGGGGGTCACGGGCTTTGAGAAGCGTTGACCGAGAGGGGCAACAGGAGACGAACGGAACAACTTGCCACAGCAAGGGCTGTTCACTCAAACGGGCAATCCTTAAACTTTGGATATGCAGAGCTAAGATCCCCTTACCTGAGGAGAAGTGTTGAGGACATCAAACTTCACCATAAAAGGGATGAAAAGCATCCACATTGCTTATAGCTTCTTACTTCTTCTTTTTCCACCCACCAAGTGTCAATAATATACACATCTGCCCCTTCTCTGTGAATCTCTCTTCCTCTCTCTCTCTCAGGTCTTGCATGTCGCGCAGGCAACCCCACATGGCAGAATACCATGGGAATAACAAGGAAACGAAGCACTATTTCTGCACTCGCGATTCATTTCACCATGTTTTTTTACTAGCGGAAAACACTTGTGACACCGGGGAAAATTCTTACGGACCAAGCACTCTTCGGAGGTTGGAAGGATATACTATTTGCAAGATGCAAAACTCCACTTTTACACTCTTTCTTTCTTTCTTTCTTTCTTTCCTTCCTTCCTTCCTTCCTTTCTTTCTCTCTCCCTCACTCGCTCCCACAAGCTAATGAACAGCAAGCTCTCGCAACTGAACAATGCACACAGATTTTTACCAGAAAAGGGATCCAAAACAAACAAGCAACCCACTTATAGAGAAGCTCTCACCTTTTAACCGGAATAAGTAGCACATAACAAACTCGGTAGGGCATCCTTGCTGCGAACGTCCCTCTGAGGGCTCCTCTCCCGTAATCCCAAGCGCAAGGGGCAGAAGCAAAAACCGCTGCCAGCTTGCCTCATTCTCCGGCACTGAGATGCACACGCTGCCACGGTAACAAGCGAAAGCAGAGAGAGAACGGGGCCCAGTCTTAGTTTTCTTTCAAAAGCTTTGTGTTATAAATAGAGAGAGAGGGAGAGAGGGAGAGCGCGGAGGGTGGAGGGGTTTGTTTTTTGGGGGGGACAACAACTCAGGGGGGGGAGGAATGGGGGGAACCGAGTAAGCACTAAGCTACACTCATCTTCACCGGGTACTCAGGCTATATGTAGCCTGTTTAAAGTTTGAATTTCCCTGCTACCACGTTTCCTCGGAGGGGAAGGGGTAAGGATGGGGAGGGGGAATCTGCCTTTAGGAGTTGGGGGAGGGGAAGCAATAGATGGACGGTGGGAAGGGGAGCGAATCGGTGGGGGGGGGAGACGACGAGCGCGCAGAGCTCCTATGTGACATACATATGGAATTAGTACCAGAACAATGCTGACAAGGACAGGCATGGCAAATTGCACTCTGGAGTTTGCAAAGGAGGGAGCTTGCAAAGGGGCTATAATACAGATTAGGGAGATTCCCTGCCCCCCCCCTTTACCCCTGTTCTTCCTTAAAGGCAGATTGCATCTGAATAAACTAACAGCCCCCCCCCTCTCCCTACATCATAAACTGAATACAACGGGTGTGGGAAAAGAGTCACTTATTTAAAAAAAAACCCGATTGTTGCAATATCGCACATAGAAGCCTTCTCTGCTTGCGGCTGACGGAGCTGGCTTGCATATATTTCCTCTCCTCCCTCCCCCCCCCCTCGGTGAAGCTCTCTTTTTCGAGGAGCCCCCATGGGAATGAGAATTCCACTGGACCCAATTAACACTCTGCTTTGCTAGCTGCGCAGCCTACGATTGATTTAAAAATAAGCTGTGCTTTAGAAGCCCTGGATATCACGGAAAGCGGTGGGGAGGGGGGGGTCAGTTCGAGAGAGAGAATCTGCGGTTCCTAAAGGCTGGCACTTCTTCGAGGTGGGGGTGGGGAGAGGAATGATGAGTCAACAGAAAAGAGGATGGTGGTGGTCAGTGAATGGCTGTGTGATCATAATAGCTGGCCTTTAAGCATGCCACAGAACACACTGGCTGCCCATTATATAAGTTAGTGGCTTCGGCAGAGACGGAATAGACAACCGGGGGGGTGCTTCACTTTTACAGCAGCTCCTCCCCCCCCCCGTGCAAACGTCTAAGGACGGGTGGCCAGGATCAGTGCACGCCATCTGCTAGAATGCACCTCCACGTGGGGATTAGATGTGTGGACACTGCCATTTACAAGGCTGCAGTACTCCCCAAACCCGCAATATTGCTGCAGTCACGGCCACCACGTTTATAGACCCCGGCCGCACCATACATTCCGCTTTAAACACTTGTGACTCACCCCCCCAAAAACAATTCTTTGTAGTTTGTTTAAGGTACAGTGGTACCTCGGGTTAAGTACTTAATTTGTTCCAGAGGTCCGTACTTAACCTGAAACTGTTCTTAACCTGAAGCACCACTTTAGCTAATGGGGTTTCTCACTGCCGCCGCGCGGCCGGAACACGACTTTTGTTCTCATCCTGAAGCAACGTTCTTAACCCGAGGTAATATTTCTGGGTTAGTGGAGTCTGTAACCTGAAGCGAATGTAACCTGAAGCGTATGTAACCCGAGGTACCACTGTACTGGGAATTGTTAGGAGACCCCTGTTCAACCTCCCGGCTATGATTCCCAGAGTTGTTTAACAATCAGTATGTTTCGTTTTTAGACACCCTGCCTGTTACGCATTTTTGTAAACACTGATTGGAGCACTATGTTGAAAAATTTGGATAAGCGCAAATTTCAAAGCATCGCTGGGGGGGGTTGGGGGGGGGGGTCGCAGACTTGCTTCGGAAACTGTGAATTTCATTGGGCTTTAAATGTATTTTGAATGGAACTGCTCCTGCACCCCCAATGGTACTGCTAAATTTACTATGGGCAACTGCTTACTGTATTTCAGACAGTGAAGAGGCTGGATAAGGCCTGCAAGGAAGATCTTAAATCATATTTCAATCATATTGGTTTCTTAAAAACATATTTGTAACCCACGTTGCATCAAACTGATCTCAAGATGGAGGGGGACAAGACAACATGCGAAACAATCCTGCAATTCATTTAAGAAAATACTAATATTCATTTGGTGGGGATGTCCAAAGGTTTGAGGCTGAGGAACGTGTTTCCATGTTTTTAGTAGTCCCTGTTTCTATCCGCAAGTTGCCTTGAGTGGGGAAAATGCAGAATAAAAATAAATATGTTATTATAACAAAAACAACCACCTATCTCTTAGTGACTACGAGGGTTTTCTTCACACCAGACCATAGGTAACACCTGAATCTATGCTGCTGCTTCATTACTCCACCTCGATCACCAAGATCTTCTGATGGGGCACTTCTGATGGTTTTGCATGACCCTAAGGTTCGGATGGCCTTCACTGGGGACCAGGATTTAGTGAAGAAGAAGAAGAAGAAGAAGAAGAAGAAGAAGAAGAGGAGGAGTTTGGATTTGATATCCCGGCTTTCACTCCCTTTAAGGAGTCTCAAAGCGGCTAACAATCTCCTTTCCCTTCCTCCCCCACAACAAACACTCTGTGAGGTGAGTGGGGCTGAGAGACTTCAGAGAAGTGTGACTGGCCCAAGGTCACCCAGCAGCTGCATGTGGAGGAGCGGAGACGCGAACCCGGTTCCCCAGATTACGAGACTACCGCTCTTAACCACTACACCACACTGGCCCTGCCCCATTGAGCTCCCTACAAGTAGAGGTTTGTCAGGAACCAGCCTTACCCTCAGTTAGATGTCTCCTGAAAAATGCCTTTTTTTAGACACAATAGGACACAATAGGAAGTTCCATTTTTTCACCAACCAGTATCTACTGATGTTTTATTGACGGTTTTCAATTGCCCTTTCATGGATACTATGAATGATTTTATTGTATTCTGAATGTTGTATGCCACCTTGATATATCTAATTAAAGAGTGGTTTCAATAAATAAAACCTGAACCTAATGACCCTGGACTCCTGCCCAAAGACCTTATTAAGTAATTCAAACTGGCAGCAAAGATGTGGACTGCATATAACTGGAAGTCTCCCAAATCAACCTTCTAAATAGCACTGGCCTGATAGCTTGTGATAAACAATGAAATTTCAGATATTATGGCAAATCCTAGGTGGGAGATCCCTAAACTTCTGACCACATTCCAATCAGACCTAAGGTGTGATTTGTAGAATGAAAAGACGTTCACCAAATCCCTCAGCCCCCTTGAAAGTCAACAAAGTCCTGCACCTTTCCCCAAAGTATCCTCTTCTCTTGATAATTTCCCAGTGTGTCGTCACGTTAACTGATGGGAAACCGTTGGTAAGCAAATGCATTTTTAGCACAATACTAATTCTTATAGCGCCCAAGCATTCTGCAAATCTTGCAAGCGGCTTTGAGAATGTGAGCTGAAAAGCAGGATATGTAAATCTACAAAATATGAACAAGGTTCCATATAACTGATGCTTTAAAATTTGATATATATATTTTTTTAAAAGCAAGGGGGGGGGAAAGCAGGTAGCCCATGTAAAGCATGGCAGGAAGGGTGAAATTGACGGTTAAACCAGCGTTCAGTTTGCCAAGATGTACATCTGTCATGCAAACTGAAAATCTGGGAGAAAGCTGAGCCTACAACACAGGTCAACAACCAACTGTGCCTTTTCTTTTTATACAACTCAAGAACATGCCACAACAGATTGCATGGCAAATAGCTATCAAAAATAGCACAGGTGTTGGTTGCTAGTGTGATCTGTTTGCTCAAAACTCTCAATTTAACGAACTTATCCTTTACAGATATTTAATCCCCCACCCTCCTTTAATCTTACAAAAATGAAAGGAAAACTGGGATCAAGAAGGAGAAAACCAATCGCTGCCTTCAGATCACTCCCGCGAAACAACCAGGAAAAAAAGGCAACCCCCTGCGGTTAACTTTCACAAAAATACCACTTTTTGCTATCAGCTCCTGCTACCTTTGTAAGAGACGGCACGGGTGGGTGGGTGGTTTCGGGTGTGTTTCTGCCGTCAACAATGAGAAAGGTTCAGCAAATATATTGGCAGAACAGCTGGGTTTACAGTAGACTCTATTCTGTCCTCTTGGATTAATGGGAGATCGCATTTCCATACGAATAAGGTCAATTTAAAATGCTTCTGGAAGGGTCATTAATGCAAGGGTGCTGCTGAAGCCAATGAAGAGTTAAATTAATGAATATTAACAGCCTATGTTTAAATTATTTTTGGGGTGATGATACTAAGCCAGGGAAGAAAACAGAACAAAATGAAAAGGTTATGAACTGTCACCAGTGGCCTGAATTTGACAGCAGAAGTTGTTCTGTTTCATTAGTTTTGCATTTTGCATCCAATAGCCAAACATGTAGCCCACTAAGCCAAACACAGCTCCACTGGGCATGGAGTTGGGGGTACCATGATCATGATAATAATAATAATAATAATAATAATAATAATACAGGGGTACCTCTGGTTGCGAACGGAATCCGTTCCAGAGGCCCGTTCACAATCTGAAAAGAACACAATCCGCGCCTGCACACGCACGGGTCACGATTCGTCGCTTCTGCGCATGACATCATTTTGCACGTCTGCGCATGCACGAGCGGCAAAACCCAGAAGTAACCCTTTCCGGTACTTCCTTTTTTTTAAATGATATTTATTAAGGTTTCAAAGAAAAGAATTACATGAATTAAAAGGAAAGAAAAAAAAAAGACAAAAGTAAAAATAAAAGAAAAAAATACAAAATACAGAAAAAAGATAAAAAACACTTAAAAAAACACATCAGTCTTTCCATACCTTACATTCATTTCCTTGTTTCCCTGACCTCCTCACACCTCCCTTTTTTGTATTCCAATTCAGTTAGTTAATTCAGCAATTTCTTTCCCTCTTTGTTTTTATCTTAGTCCTTTAACATAATATATTATAACTTTGGATTCTCACCTGTTAACATTCCATTTTTACATACACCTTTATAACATTGCTGCTTAAACCACTTGGCTTCATTCTGACATCATTCTAACATTCATTAATTTTGCAATATTTCTGTAGGTAGTCTTTAAATTTCTTCCAATCTTCTTCCACCAACTCTTCTCCCTGGTCTCGGATTCTGCCAGTCATTTCCGCCAATTCCATGTAGTCCATCACCTTCATCTGCCATTCTTCCAGAGTGGGTAGGTCTTGTGTCTTCCAATACTTTGCAATAAGTATTCTTGCTGCTGTTGTGGCATACATAAAGAAAGTTCTATCCTTCTTTGGCACCAATTGGCCGACTATGCCCAGCAGGAAGGCCTCTGGTTTCTTCAGAAAGGTATATTTAAATACCTTTTTCAATTCATTATAGATCATCTCCCAGAAAGCCTTAATCCTTGGGCACATCCACCAAAGGTGAAAGAATGTACCTTCAGTTTCTTTACATTTCCAACATTTATTATCGGGCAAATGATAGATTTTTGCAAGCTTGACTGGTGTCATGTACCACCTGTATATCATTTTCATAATATTCTCTCTTAGGGCATTACATGCCGTAAATTTCATACCTGTAATCCACAACTGTTCCCAGTCAGCAAACATAATATTATGTCCAACATCTTGTGCCCATTTAATCATAGCAGATTTCACCGTTTCATCCTGAGTATTCCATTTCAACAGCAAGTTATACATCTTTGACAAAATCTTAGTTTTGGGTTCTAACAGTTCTGTTTCTAGTTTTGATTTTTCCACCTGGAAGCCAATTTTCTTATCCAAATTATATGCCTCCATTATCTGATAATAATGAAGCCAGTCTCGCACTTAATCTTTTAATTTCTCAAAACTCTGCAATTTCAATTTGTCTCCTTCTTGTTCCAAAATTTCCCAATATTTCGGCCATTTGGCCTCCATATTGAGCTTTTTCTGAGCCTTTGCTTCCATTGGTGACAACCACCTTGGGCCCTTTCCGGTACTTCCGGGTCGCCGCAGGACACAACCTGAAAACGTGCAGCCTGAAGCAAACGTAACATGAGGTATGACTGTAATAATAATTTATTATTCATACCTCGCCCTGGGCTGCTTCCAGTAAAAGATTAAAATACAATAATTCATCAAATATTAAAAGCTTCCCTAAACAGGGCTGCCTTCAAATGTCTTCTAAAAGTCAGATAGTTGTTTATTTCTTTGACATCTGATGGGAGGGCGTTCCACAGGGAGGGTGCCACCACCAAGAAGGCCCTCTGCCTGGTTTCCTGTAACCTCACTTCTTGCAGTGAGGGAACCAACAGAAGGCCCTCAGCACTGGACCTCAGTGTCTGGGCAGAACGATGGGGGTACAGACGCTCCTTCAAGAGCTTTATTTGTTTGCTGATGAAATGAGCAAAAACAGAAAGGCTATCGATCACAATCCGGAGGCCTGCACATCATTTTCAGGCTGACTTAAACTTAGCAAGTGCTGTGAATTAAACATAGCTCACTTCAGTTGGCGGTTCCTTCCCACCGAAAGCCCTCCAAGGACCATGGTAGTATCCATAGTAGACCATCCATAGTAGATGATACTCTAGATAGGTGTTGCAGTGAAGGGATGTGGTTCAACAACAGAGCATCTCCTAAACTTGCAGAAAGCTCCATGCTCAATTTCTGGCGGCTCAGCTAGGGCTGGGAATACTCCCAGTCTGAAAACCTGAATGCAGCTGCCAGTCAGTGTAGACAGTATTGAACTAGATGAACAAATGGTCTGTCTCAGTATAAGCCAGCTTCCTATGTAGTCCTGAACTAAACTAGTAATGAGCATGGGGCATTTTTGAATTTCACTTAATATCTGGTTACATCTGTCCTTAAATTTGTTTCAAACGCGTCCTATTGTTTCTCGATGTTTATATGCGGTTAAAATAGGTTTTTATTTTGCTCTTAGTTGTACTTCTTATCACGAAAGTCTTTGCTGCCCTGTGCTCCTTTAGAAGGAATGGCGTGACTTAGTTTCGCGAATAAGTAAACATAAAATTAGTATTAATCACTGTGAATTGTTCAGCGCTCATAAGGATGGAGCTGAGACTTGCACTGACATGAAACAGAACCCACATAACCGGGTGCAGAAATGGAGTACAGATCTGTCCATGGTTAACAGACATGAAGGTTTGCTCTACGTTTACAGACCTGCAAGGGTGCCAAGTTCCTCAGGTGAGCTCCTTCTTCCAGCCTGATCAACATCAGCGGCACAATTGGTGGGGACAAACTACAGAGCCTTCTCTGTGGCTGCTCCCAGACTGTGGAATCCCCTCCCAAGAGAGTTAATATGGACTCCCTCTCCACGCGGGTGGCACTGTGGGTTAAACCACAGAGCCTAGGACTTGCCGATCAGAAGGTCGGCGGTTCGAATCCCTGTGATGGGGTGAGCTCCCGTTGCTTGGTCCCTGCTCCTGCCAACCTAGCAGTTCGAAAGCACGTCAAAGTGCAAGTAGATAAATAGGTACCACTCCAGCGGGAAGGTAAACGGCGTTTCCGTGTGCTACTCTGGTTCTCCAGAAGCGGCTTAGTCATGCTGGCCACATGACCCGGATGCTGTACGCCGGCTCCCTCGGCCAGTAAAGCGAGATGAGCGCCGCAACCCCAGAGTTGGTCACGACTGGACCTAATGGTCAGGGGTCCCTTTACCTTTACCCTCTCCGTTATCCTTCCGCAAGCGGGCTAAGGCCTTCCTATTTGAAAACCGAAGATGCAGAAGAAGCTGACCAACGGTCAAACTGGGCTTTTTAAAATTGCTAGTTCCAAATGTGTTTTCATGCATTTTGACTATTATTTTAAAAATGATTCGCTTTTATCACTTTTTTGTTTCAGAATGGCGTTATTAAATATTGCAAGCCGTCTTGAACCCCAACTTCGGAGAAAGACGAGGTATAAACGAATAAATGTTTACAGGTGGTAAACCTCTGCATAGCAGTTGCTAGGACAAAAGGAAGAGGGAGATAGCCTTTACGGCCAGCTCATGGACTGCCATTATTGTGCTGGAAATGGTGGTGCTGGACGAGGTCACCCTGCAATTTAGTACCCGTCTGTCAGATTTTCTGTTGCCGGGCAATGGAACTGAACTTCCAAATAGGAAATTGGCCTTTATCTCCAACGCTGGCAACATAATAGAGCCAGAATGACTACTCAGCTGAAATTCAGTGGGGGTTTATTGGGCAGTCATAAATCGTAATTATCTATCCAACCACCTCAAGGCTCAAACTGTGCAAAATGGGTAATTGTGTTCTTTGAGCATTCTGTTTATGCCATATAATACTACAAGGAGGGGTTATGTGGTGATGAAGCAAATGACCCAAACTCTCTATTAGCCAGAGGGTGGGACTGATAAAGCGTGGATAAGCCAGTCCCTTGAACCCCAAGATGAGTGCTTTGCAAATGAGGCTGTTTAAAATGTTCACAGGCATGGCACTTGTGTTCTGTACTACAAAGGCCAGATCAACATGCATGTTCCACTGCCCCTGCTTTGAAGCATCAAAGCTTACTGAGGTTCATTTTGCATAAGATCTCCTACCACCTCCTTTCTCCTAATTGAAGGGCAGAGTGTTTGAGGACCGGGACATATGCAGGGTAACAAAAATGCTTGTTTACAAAGCTATTGCGCTACCAACTTTACTGTACGCTTGTGAAACATGGACCACTTATAAACGCCATCTCCAGCTCCTTGAAAGATTCCATCAATGGTGTCTCTGAAAATTTTTACACATCACTTAGGAAGACAGGCAAACTAATGCCAGTGTACTGGAAGAAGCAAAAATCACCAGTGTTGAAGCAATGATTCTTCAACATCAACTTCGTTGGACTGGTCATGTTGTGCGGATGCCTGGTTATCGTCTTCCAAAGCAACTACTCTATTCTGAACTTAGAAACAGAAAGCGTAATGCTGGTGGTCAAGAAAAGAGATTTAAAGACTCTCTCAAGGCAAACCTTTAAAAATGTAGTATAAACATCAGCAACTGGGAAACACTGGCCTGCGAGTGCTCCAACTGGAGAACAGCCTTTACCCAAGGTGTCACTTGAACTCAGGATGCAAGGGAGAAACGTGCTAAGAGGAAGGCACGCTTGGCAAACCCTCACCATGATCAGCTCCCGCCTGGAAACCTATCTCCCCACTGTGGAAGGTCGTGTGGATCCAGAATTGGCCTCCACAATCACTTATGGACTCACTGTTAAGACTTCGCTCATGGAAGACAATCTTACTTGGCTACGAGTGATCACCAAAGAAGAAGAAGCCCACCTCCTTTCTTTTGATATTCAGGTGCTAAACTTTGTGGCTCCTCTGGCTTCAACAAGATTTAGAGGAGAAGATTAAAACCAAAATCTCCCACCCACCCACACGGACACCTCTATCTTTCAAATCTTCAAAATGATATCAGAACTACAAGGCTGAGCCGCCATTGCCTAAAGCCTTAAAGTACAGTAGTGGTTAAATTGTGAGGCAATTGCTAAGACAATTGGCGTTGTTGCCAGTTTCTAATAAATTGGATTAATTGCTACACGATGTTAAGACAATTTGTATCTTCTCTTGCCTTCCCCCCTTAATCTACAACATTTGTTATTTGGGTCAAAGGTGCATTGGGAGCGTGTGCACAAATTACAACTTTCTGCCATTTATTTTGAGCAGTGGCATTTATTTTTTTTTAATATCGCTTCCCTTGGAAAAGGGGGGCAGGCCAGAATCCCTGAAGCAGTAAACACTAATTGTGCTTTCCCTTTTTGGTAAGGAGCTTTTGTTGCTTTGACAAATCTTTCCAACGGCGACTTTTATTAGGTGCTCATTAATGGCTTGGTAGAATGGAGACTTCCGGATGAGTACAGAAAAAAGAAAAAGAAAAACGTTAGGGAGAAGGAATGACTCACATACTGTAGGAGTGTTGCTCCTTCCCCAAACAGTATTAAAGCAAACATAATGATTTGTGCAGTCTGACACGTTGTCGGCGTAACGTGACTTGGACGGAGCTTCAGAAAGGGGCACTGCTCTTTTCCTCAGAGGCCTCGGGCTGAAGGCATCTCGCTTTTCAGAAAAGGCACTGTTGAATTTTCTCACCCTACTTCTGCAACAAGGCCTCCTGGGGGAGGCGAGGAAAATCAACAAGCCCCACTTGACAGAACTCCCCCTTGCATCCAGTTCCAACGGCAGTGGTACCTTGGTTTACAACCATAATCCATTCCAGAGGTCTGTTTATAAACCAAAACAGGTTGTAATCCAAGGCGTGCTTTCGCCAATGGGGCCAAAAAAAATTTGTTCATAATCCAAAAAGGGGGTTGTAATCCAAAAAAAGTTTGCAAAGCAGGACACGCACTTCCGGGTTTGACATGTTTGTAATCCAAAATGTATGCAAACCAGACTGTTCGCAAAGCAAGGTACCACTTTACAGTGGTACCTCGGGTTACATATGCTTCAGGTTACATACTCTTCAGGTTACAGACTCTGCTAACCCAGAAATAGTATCTCGGGTTAAGAACTTTGCTTCAGGATGAGAACAGAAATTGTGCTCCGGCGGCGTGGCAGGAGCAGGAGGCCCATTAGCTAAAGTGGTGCTTCAGGTTAAGAACAGTTTCAGGTTAAGAACAGACCTCTGGAATGAATTAAGTCCTTAACCCGAGGTACCACTGTACTGCTAAACGTCTTCTCTCCAGTATGGTAGTTTTCTGTCTGCAAGGGATACACTGCACATGGGAAAGAATTTTATTTTTCTGTCTGGTTTTTTAAACCACACCTCTTCCTTTTCCACCTGAAGGTTCCCCAAAATGGTTCAAATTTAAATTTCTTTAGCATCCCACTATGCAATCCTCAGCTGTAATGTGAACCACACCACATTCTGTTTATGACTGAATCAATCCTAGAAACTCTGCAAAAGGGAACCTTTGTTTGCAAGGCAATTGTGTTTAGTGAATGCACACCAGCGATCGCAGTCAGACACACCAAGTGAAAATGACAGGCGCATATCCTTCACTGTCCATGCGCTACACACACCGAGCATGTAACACTCAAGTAACTGTGGTGAATGCAACTGCTGGGCATCTCTTGAGCTGATCTGGGCAAATCTCACACCATGCTGCTATACGTTAGAAAGCAAGCTTCTGTTATCTTCTGGGACACTCCGCTCACAAGATTGTGATTTGGGAGTCAGAAGTATATTTCTGCACACCATCTGATCTCCTCGCAAATAGACTCCATTAACACAGTTGTTGCCATCCAGCAGGCACTGTTTCCACTGTTTCCAAGTTATGGAACAAAGGTGCCTATGCATAACATTATATATGAATCGGAATAGGCCTTCTCCCTGCTCCAACGCACAGGAGGGGAAAACTCTTTCAAATACAATAATCACAGTTTTTTTCAAGCATTAAAATAAGAATCGCATTTTGAAAACCTACCATCCAATTATGGCTGCAATCATATACACACTTACTTAGAACTAAGCTTCCCTGAACACAGGAGGACTTATTTTGAGATAATCATACACGACATTGCGCTGCTCGGCTATAAACCTAAATTAACCTCCTAGGGACTATTGAGAATAGTGGGACTTACTTATGAGTAAACATGCATAAGATTGCGCTGCAATGCCAAACACGCTTGCTTAGAGTAAGCCCCACTGAACAATGTGAGGAGGGCTACGTGAAATATACTCGGAGCCGAGCGTGGATTTCATGCTCTTTATTCAGCTCATAGTAGTGAGGAATGAAAGTTTCCCCAAAATATCTGCTTTATATACATTATTTACACAATGGGCCGCACGTGATTGGCTAATTCCGGGATTCTCCTGTAGGCCAATCAGGTTGCGGATTCACTTCCACCTGGAGCTGGATTGGGTGGCTCCTGAGGACCAATCATACTACTGCATTGTTCTAGGACCAATCAGACTGCTGCATTCTGAATCCTATTGTTCTAGGACCAATCAGACTGCTGCATTTTGGATCCTATTCAACTCAGTACATAACACTACGGGTTTGCTTATGTTAATTATTACTGACCAATATACAAAACCTGTTTTACATGTTACGTCCAAAATCAGAGAGGAGGGCATTAAAATGTGCAATATCAACACTTCTTACAACCTGGAAGCTGTCCCACCCTTCCAGCTTTTTCTGCAACCAAAATTTCTACCATACCTTGAAATTTGTCAGGGCGACAAGTGGCCAGATTAAATAGCCCCGGAAGCCATTTCTGGCCTAGTAACTGCTGGTCACCCATGTCTCCAGCATAGCACGGAGGTCACCACAAAATGAGGCCCCTTGTGTAGAAAGCGCAAGTGTTGTAAATGTCAGTGGAGTGCCTTCTGATTAATTAGGTTCATGGTTATTTCCTGGAAGGGTAAGCAAGTTTCTTCTCTCTGCTAAGTGCTTTGGGTTCTGTATATTTTTATATCATTCTCTCCCCCCCCCCCTTCACTCTCTGTCTTCAAACCTACAGGAAGCTGCAGACACTTAAGACCTTTTAAATAAATAAACCATGTTGGGATCTTGCATAAAGAGCACTGTATGAACATAAGCCAACAGCTATCAAATCCGTCGTTGCGGAAGATTTCATACAGGAGGTGGGAATCATTTGCAGAGGCGGAGAAACTTTAAGAAGAGAAAACAAGAAACACAAAAGCTTATGGTGTGTCAACATGCAAAAGACACCAGGAAGAAAAACTAACAGAAAGCACATTTGTGCCAAATTTTGCTTGCAGGACAGAAAGAGGACGAAGTCCGTTTCAAGAACTGGGATAACCTGTCAACATGAAGCAATCATACACACAAGAATAATTTGGGTGTCAGCTGCACAATCAGGCCTAAAGACCAAACCTTTTAAAATGAAAAAATAAATAACAGCATGCAATTAATTTTCTGGTGGGCATTCTATTGCTTAACCCCGTTTTCTATGCATTAAGTCTGAATCATCTCGAGGGGAGAAGCCACCCATCGCTATATATATATATATATATATATATATATATATATATATATAAATAAACAGCTGCTTGCAACTGGATTTGCTTCTCTCCAGCCCTTCCCTTTCGTATTTTTAAACACAGAGAGGATAGCAGGCAATGAAAGAGTTACTCTGCCACCTGCTGTGTCTGGTTACAAGATTCGGCTGCAAGCAGCATATTCCTAACACCTGCAGATATAAACGGGAGACAAACAGCAGGACAGAGAAGGAAAAGGAGGGTGCAACTGAATACAGCAGCCCGGCTATTGCGATGCATGCAATACTGTGCAACTGTTATGTAGGGCTGTCACTAAGGGTGGTCTGGAACTGCAACTGATGCACAATAACAGCAGGTGGGTTGCTCAGCGGGGCCTCTGGCTGTGCCCACCTTACACCAGTAGGAAAGGAGCTGATGAGCTACCAAGTCACGTTTAAGACGTTGGTTTTGTTCGACAAAGCACCTAATCGCTAAGGCCAGGTTCTCTGGGAGACGATCTGATCTTATATAAGCAGATCAGGTCACTGCAGTTCATGGGTGAGGACCACCTGACTGTTGAGCAAGGATGGGATGTCTCCACCCCCATCGTTCTGCCCGGACACTGAGGTCCAGCTCCGAGGGCCTTCTGGCGGTTCCCTCACTGTGAGAAGCCAAGTTACAGGGAACCAGGCAGAAGGCCTTCTCAGTAGTGGCACCCGCCCTGTAGAACACCCTTCCACCAGATGTCAAAGAGAACAACTACCAGACTTTTAGAAGACATCTGAAGGCAGCCTTGTTTTAGGGCAGCTTTTAATGTTTGATGTATTACTGTATTTTAATATTTTGTTGAAAGCCGCCTAGAGTGGCTGGGGAAACCCAGCCATATGGGCGGGGTATAAATAATTTATTATTATTATTATTATTATTATTATTATTATTATTAAGCCCTTGCAAGTGTGGCCCACGGTCAGGGATTATGGGAGCTGCAGCCAAGCAACCTGGGGAGGGACACAGGTTCTCCATCTCTATAGCAGAGTTTGAGAATAGGTGTGTTCTGTATCTCCATCTTTGGCCACTGAAGTAGACATGATGTAGGCAGCCATGTTGGTTGTTGACATCACTTGCCCCGTTCCTGTAAAAATGAGAATGAAGGGCTAATTCTGCAACCCACAAATGGATGAACTGAAAGTACTTCACGCAACACGTAACTGACCAATGGAACTAGCTGTATATGACAGGATGCGGAGACGGCCAATGGCTTGAGCGACGCTGAAGATGAGTTAAGACAAATTTGTGGAGAATAAGTCTACTACTTATGGTAGGTCTGTGCCACTCAGTAGTAGCTGATGGGGAGGAACAAAGGGATTGGGCTATTGCTTTTCTGATGTGCTTCATGGCTTCATGGTGAATCAGATTGGTCTTGTTGCAAAAGGATGCTAGATTAGCCAAACACCTTTCACCTGTCCCAAAGGAACTCTTCTTGTGCCTTCAAAAATTAGATGTTCATCAGGCCTGAAAATGTCCCAGGTGATGGCACCCAGGACTTCTGAAATAATTCTACAGCTTTTAGAGGGCTGGCAACTAAAGCATGGCTCATATAAACTGGGTGCTGGAACTGAAGAATGTGAAATATTTTCCCAGCCCTACATTAAATATTTGCAATGGTAACACAAAATGCCAGTTGCTGTCCACTTCCCTTTTTTGTTAACAATGCAATGAGAGAGAGACAGAGAAGGTTAAGTAAAATGTGTACGGCATGTCTGGATATGTGTGGAAGGCCAAATTAAATCTTCACATTGCTCAGAAAGAGTTAAATGCTTCACTGCTCCGATCTTCCCCTTTCCGGTGTCTCCCCGATAAGTACAGAAGATTTATGTGCAATGAATTTCCAATTACTGATCTCTACCAGCTGGGCTGTCAATCAGATTCTAGCGTACACTGGATGGCTTCACTCACCCACCCCCGTCCTTTCCTTGTTGTTAACAGATGCATGCAAAATCACAGAATTATATACATGGCAACTCTGATAACCAGCTATGTTAGAAAAAAGGCATGGCTGAACCAAATATTCTCAGGAACCATCATTAGCTATTAGGCAAGTTAGGCGTAGACCTAGGGCACGGAAACTGGGTCAGGGAGCAAGCTGGTCAAATTCCCATTTCCCCTCAATGCCAGTAGCCTGATCAAGAATAGACAGAAGTCCTAAGCCACGAGTATAGGTACTCTTTCAGAGCAAGAGTCACATCCCTTTTAATATTCAAATGGGATTGTTTTGTTGCCTATTTGTATTATGCAATTTTTATCTGTTCGTGTCACCCTATTACCGTGACTGTAATTTATTTTAAACTGTTTTAATGTTGAATTCTAAATTGCTGTAACCCGGCTGTAGGATCTGATGGTGAAGGAAAGGTAATAAATTGAATGATTATTATTATTATTAATGATGATGATTTTATACTTTTAAACCAGTTAAAAGCCTATTTTTGCTTTAAGGTGTATATAAATTAATAAATAATTTAATTAGCATAATTATAATATTTATTCATTTTAGAATTTAATATACAGTGGTACCTCTGGATGCGAATGGGATCCGTTCAGAATGGATGGTGGCCAACAGATTGAGGTTGAATCCTGACAAGACAGAAGTACTGTTTTGGGAAAACAGAGGGGAGGCAGGTGTGGAGGACTCCCTGGTCCTAAATGGGGTAACTGTGCCCCTGAAGGACCAGGTGAAGCCTGGGAGTCATTTTGGACTCACAGCTGTCCATGGAGGCACAGGTCAGGTCTGTGTCCAGGGCAGCGGCCTATCAGCTCCATCTGATATCAGCTCCATCTTACCTGCCCACGGACTGTCTCGCCAGAGTGGTGCATGCCCTGGTTATCTCCCACTTGGACTACTGCAATGCGCTCTACGTGGGGCTACCTTTGAAGGTGACTCAACAATTGCAAATAATCCAGAATGCGGCAAATAGACTGGTGACTGGGAATGGCTACCAAAACCATATAACATCAGCCCTAGATATTCATTGGCTCCTTGTGCGTTTCCGAGCACAATTCAAAGTGTTGGTGCTGATCTTGAAAGCCTAAACAGCCTTGGCCCAGTATACCTGAAGGAGCGTCTCCATCCCCATCATTCAACACTGAGCTCTAGTGCCGGGGGCCTTCTGGCAATTCCCTCACTGCAAGAAGTGAAGCTACAGGGAACCAGGCAGAGGGCCTTCTCGGTAGTGGCACCCGCCCTGTGGAATGCCCTCCCATCAGTTGTCAAGGAAATAAACAACTATCTGACTTTTAGAAGACATCTGAAGGCAGCCCTGTTTAGGGAAGTTTTTAGAGTTTGATCTTCTATCGTGTTTTTAATATTCTGTTGGGAGCCACTCAGAGTGGGAAACCCAGCCATAAATAATAGTTGTTGTTGTTGTTGTTGTTGTTGTTGTTGTTGTTGTTGTTGTTGTTACCATTAGGCAAGCTGGACAGTATCAAAGCTGCTATAAATGTATTTCAGGTGCTTATCCCTAGCAAGTAAGTGAGCAAATGTATCATGCATAGTTCTTTGGGATGGCAGAATATAGTCGCATGTCAACAGTTTTCAGTACCTTTGGCTTTTCTTCTTAAGTTTAAACAATATAAAGTAGGTATGTGCTATTGTGTTTACATTTATATATGCATTCCAATAAAAATGTCCACACGCCATTTAAAACTTTAATTCCCCCCACCCTTGCCCAATATTTCAATACAGTGGTACCTCGGGTTACATATGCTTCAGGTTACAGACCCCGCTAACCCAGAAATAGTACCTCGGGTTAAGAACTTTGCTTCAGGTTGACAAAAGAAATCGCATCAGTAGCAGGAGGCCCCATTAACTAAAGTGGTGCTTCAGGTTAAGAACAGTTTCAGGTTAAGAACAGACCTCCAGAACGAATTAAGTACTTAACCCGAGATACCACTGTATTGAGAAACACACACAAAAAATCACTGCATACTTTTTTTCTTTTTTTGCTTTGCTTACTAAATGCAAGTAAAAAAAAGGCATACAAAATTGGTTCACTCTCTATGACACCTGAATAAAAAAAAAACTTTGATGAAAATGTTCTGGTATACCTGAAGGAGCGTCTCCATCCCCATCGTTCTGCCTGGACACTGAGGTCCAGTGCTGAGGGCCTTCTGACGGTTCCCTTCCTGCGACAAACCAAGTTACAGGGAATCAGGCAGAGGGCCTTCTCGGTAGTGGCACCCACTCTGTGGAATGCCCTCCCACCAGATGTCAAAGAGAAAAACAACTACCAGACTTTTAGAAGACATCTGAAGGCAGCCCTGTTTAGGGAAGCTTTTAATGTTTAATAGAGTATTGTATTTTAATATTTTGTTGGAAGGCGCCCAGAGTGGCTGGGGAAACCCAGCCAGATGGGTGGGGTATAAATAATAAATTGTTGTTGTTGTTTGTTGTACAAATTACCCCACACAAATTCTGGAAGGCCCACAGCACTACTTGGGATGCAGTGCAGGAAGGTTCATAATAAGAACTTCCTCCGGAGAACATGGCACATTTGCTTCCCAATTTGTACTCCTGAAAGCTTTTATTCTCCTGGGAACTGCGAGCGCAACACAGAAACAGACTGCATCAGTCTGTGGGAATCGAGGTGACATGTGAAGTAGCTGCTTCCTCAACATCTGCATAGGAAAGAAGTAAAATCTGCATGGCCACTGTGCATTTGAGGATTCTGAGACTGCTTTAAATTTTTGACAGTTAAATATAAGGTGTTTTGAAGGTGTCCTATTGTCTTCTGATCTATTACGAACTGGAAACATGCAATTTCCAGGAAGCATTCAAAGTAGTGCCCTCCAGAAGTTGTAAACTACAAGTCCCATCAACTTCAGCCAGCATGACCAATGGTCAGGGCCTGTAGCCCACAATGCTGGGGGGGGGGGGGGAAGGCACACATTGGCTGCCCCTCTGCTATTTAGTCAACCATGAGGGTCCCATGTCCCAATTCCCCCAGAAGTCAACGTCTAAATCATGGGCCTTTCTCCGCTTATAAACTGGTGAAGCTGCTGTCTGATACTCTTAAGAGTGAAACTGGAGCTGATTGTCTGCATCTTTGGTCACGTGTTTTTGTTATTAGAATGTAAGGTTTTCCTTTCCAAACTAACAGCAGATTTCACCTGAACTGAGGAAAGTTTGGTGGCTGGAGTCATGCCCCTTATATGTACTCCTCCTGGTCTTCCAGCTAATAAAGGCCAGAGTGATGAAAATGTACATGAGGGCATCGCTTTTGCGGCTTTAGAAAAAATGTACTATTTAATACCGCATACAGTCAAACCTCGGTTTCCAAACGCCTCCGTTTTGGAACGTTTCAGCTCCCGTACGTCAAAAACCTGGAAGTAACTGCTCTGATTTTTGAACCATTTTCAGAAGCTGAATGGCTTCCAAGCCACGTTTTTCATTTTTTCTCTACTGACTTTGCAGCCAGCCCTTTGAACCCTGGTTTTCAAACTTTTCAGAAGCCGAACGGTCTTCTGGAACAGATTACAGTGGTACCTCCGGTTACGAACGGGATCCGTTCCGGAAGCCCGGCCGTATCCCGAAAATTTCGTAAGCGGAGGCGCTCTTCTGCGTGCATGCGTGGTGCGTAGAGAGCTTCTGCGCATGTGCGTGTGGCAAAACCCGAAAGTATACAGTTCTGGGTTTGCCGCATTCGCAACCCAAGGATTATGTTACCTGAAAGTAATGTAACCCAAAGGTCCACTGTAAATTCTAAAATCGAGGTTCCACTGTATCCTGAAATTCTAATCCTGTGTGAGTTTAGGAGATTAGAAGTGGAACTAGGTGTCTGCCTCAGCTAAGGGAAGACCTGGTTATTGCGATGAAACTTTGTCTTCAGCTAATGGCTGCTATCATGGGCAATACACTGACCCAGGACAATAGAGCGTCCTGATCCTCTAAACCAAGCTCACAGACAGACTGCTTGCATGGAAACAGACGTCTCCCAAACCATGCTCACCAGGCCCTTCCCCTTCCATGCAGAAACCTGGCAATACTTGACACATATGAAAATACTGAAGATTCGTTCAGGAACTTTTGCGAAAGTCGGGGAAGGTTTTGAGTAGTAGAAAAAGTGTGAGTATTCTTAGTACAGTACATTAAACCAGAACATTAGCTGAATAATGGCAATGTTGTGGGAGCATGACAAAAAAATAATAAACCACAAACTAAAAAATAATAACCCAGCCCCACATTCCAAAGCAAAGTGCTCCGTTTCATATCAAACCAACGGCACATCGATTTCTCTCATGTTGCACACGCAGCATTTCAAAAGGAAACACAGGACAGCTTTGAATCGGCCCAGGAGCCGCTCGGCAGAAGAAAACACATAAATTCAAGCGCGGAAAGGAAGAATTAAAGGAAGAGCATGTAAAAAGAAGCTGGGATACTAGGAGAGGGTGTGTAAATGGATGTACTAGATATTTATTCCCCCGTCAAGGAAAGCTGTTAATCCTCACAATGGCGTCTCCTCCAAACTGCACGCCAAATAAATACTTGAGACGGAAAGGACAATCGCTTCTGCGAATCCACACTGACAATGGGAGCAGCTGCCAGGTTTAAAGTGGGTATTTAGAAAAGGAACATTTCCTTAACTTACTTGTCTTTAAAAAAAAAAAAAAGCAATCTGACTGCTGGCACTTGCATTCATGGTTAGTTACAGAATAGTGGATCCCTGTCGCCAGCCCCCAAGGGGGAAGGGCCTGTAGCTCAGTCCCAGAGTGAATGCTTTGCATACACAAGATCCAGCCCCTGACAGCTCCCAGGGAAAGAATCCTGCACAGCAGAGGTGGGAAAGGCCTCATTCTAACTCAGACCCCCAAGAGCTGCTGCTTCTGCTGCCACCCAGAGGAGAGAATAATGGACAGGATGGAGCCCTGGCCTGATTTGGCATGGGGCACGTTAATAGATTCTACCCATCGATGGATTTGACTTTGATTTCAGGTTCTTTTCACACAACCATCGAAACACATGTTAGAACGCAGCTGATATCTGCATTCTCGTTGCACAATTCGGAGAAGTACAAGTTTCAAAGGACGGCTGCTGTTTCAGTTTGTGCCTAATTTTCGGGAATTATGCAAACGGAACCGAAATTCTCTCTCATCCCTAAAGATAAGCTCAAAACCGCATCCGCAAGAATTCGGGGGGGGGGGAGTTATTAAGCACCCAGAAGAAGAGGCAAAAAGCAGCCACAACTTTTGCAGGGTAAAGAAAACTTTCAGGAAATTAAAGGACCGGTTTCCGCGCAAAGAGCAACACGCCAAGCAATGAAAAGTGATGGCCTGAATAAAACCACAGAGATAAAACTTTTCTATCTGAGTGAGGAGCACTGGGTAAACATCAAATCTCTTGCTTCTCCAGAATACACACGAATGCTTTTCAAACATATCACCCCTCAAGGGGCTAATTTTGCAGAAACAGTCCAGCAAGAATCAGAAGGACATTTCAGGGAGGGTTTTTTTGTGCATATATAGATAAATAGAGAGAGAGAAAGAAAGAAATATGGTCCTATAGGCCTCATTATAGGAGGAAACAGCCGTTCTGTAACCTCCCCCCAGCCTCTACTCGCGGTTATTGTTTAACCCTCCTGCATCTCCAATTTCAAAGTGGCATCCCCAGCCGTCATGATTGGCAGCGCACACTAATCCATAGACTACAGAAGCATATGAGGGAGAATTCAGCCATACAGGGAAGATTTCAATGCACACATTTCCCATTTCCCATGAGCACTAAAAAAAAAAAAAAAAAAGCCTAACAAAACTAACAGTCAGGCTAAGAATTCCCAGCATTCCATTGTCCCAAAGCCATTAAAAACACGAGCTTGTGGTCAGGGGTAAAGACATACAAAGTGGCTGCAGATTTCTGAAAGAAAATCTCCCTCGAAACAGGATAGCATCAGTGTTTTTGTTTGTTAAGAAAACATGAATTTGTGTCTTGCTGCAGAATACCAGTAGAGAGACTCAAGTCCCCTAGCGAATGTTTCTACTCGCTCCCCCTTGCTTCCTCCTGAATAGCCAAAACGTTATGGTTTACCAGCAAATAGAGAGAAAAACCTTCGATTGCTTAGATGAACGTTCCCTCACTGAAATAGCTGTCACCTGGGGGGGGGGCATCACGAGCAATTTCAGCACCCCAGCTACATTGGTGGCATTGCGGAAGTAACACAAGGAACTCTTGTGGGATGCAATGATGTCAAAATCATAGGGAGAAAATTGATTTTAGGGAGAGGAGGCTGCGCAGATTTGATACTAGGCTATTAGCGAGGCTCGGCGCTGTGCAAATAAATAAATTAATGCATGCATTAAACAGATCAACAGATGAATAGGCTTAACAAAGCGAGACAGAAAAAAACACACCAAACCCTGCAACCTGAGCTAACTTTAGAATTTGGGGTGGGGGGGAATACATGGAATTCTGTGACTGAGCCACCATATGCAAGAACTTAACTCTCCCCAAGGAGAGTCGGACGAAAACCCCAACTCTCTAAACCAGAGGTGTATGACTTATAACTTCATTTATTAAACTGATATATCATCCTTCCTCCTGAAGGAGCCCAGGATGGCAAAAAGCAAGTGATAAAATAGTAACAACATACTTAACGCCTATGAGGCTTACTGAAGGAGGTCTTCAGCTGGCACCTTTTAGGTGCTACTGGGGTGCAGTTCCCATCATCCCTGGTCCCTGGCCACACTGAATGGGGCTGATGGAGAGAAACGATATGAGGACCAAAGGCTAATCATCTCTGCTCTAAGCCATCCTTCCCAGTGCTTTGGCTTTCAACTCCCAACTGCTGGGCTTGATGGAAGTTGCAATCCAAAAACTCTGGAAGGCGCTACAATGGGGAAGGATCCTATAACTTCCCGGAGTTCCCTGGAAAGAGGAACTGATTGGCAAACCAACCTCTGTGAGAGGTATAGGGGTCTCCTGACAGCTCTCAGCACCCTTGAAAAAGACAGATCGCAAGGTTCTTTGGAGAGAAAATCACAGCAGCTTTTCAGCTGTGTGATATTCATTTAAACATATAGTGCAAACTGGGCCATTCTTTTCTACAAACGAAAACCTACACTGTAATTTTAAATTCTAGGGCAGGGGAAACCTACATGGTTCCCTCTTGAGAATATTGGATTACAATTCCCATCACCCCCAGCCAGCCTATCCAAGGAACAGGAATGATGAGAGTTGTGGTCCAATGGCATATGGAGAGCAGGATATTGGCTTCTTCTACTCTAGGGATGCAGGTGGTGCTGTGGGTTAAACCACAGAGCCTAGGGCTTGCCGATCAGAAGGTTGGCGGTTCAAATGCCCGCGACGGGGTGAGCTCCCGTTGCTTGATCCCTGCTCCTGCCTACCTAGCAGTTCGAAAGCACAAAGTGCAAGTAGATAAATAGGTACCGCTCCGGCAGGAAGGTAAACAGCATTCCCATGCGCTGCTCTGGTTCGCCAGAAGCGGCTTAGTCATGCTGGCCACATGACCTGGAAGCTGTACACCAGCTCCCTTGGCCAATAAAGCGAAATGAGCGCCGCAACCCCAGAGTCGGCCATGACTGGACTTAATGGTCAGGGGTCCCTTTACCTTTACTCTAGGGTTTTAAGAGAGCATGCATATCAACCCCCCCCCCCCCTTTCAGGACTGTTTATTGTTTCATTGACCTGTACCAAATCGCTCCCACCCACCCCTAAACCTCCCTTAGCCATCCAGCCTTTCTTCTTAAGGAAAAGACACACACACCCTCCCCAAACCTCAATCGCCAATCATTTTAGCTGCCCTCTCCTTCCCCTTCCCGAGCTCGACGGCTTCTGAAATAAGGAGGCTAAGGAGAAAGCGCAGCGCCACTGATGCATGAGCGAGCCCTCCTGACCTCTGACTGTGGCAGATCAACAGCAGGCAAGAGCGCAGGACAGAGTGATGGGAACTGACAGGGGTTTCCTCGCGGAGATGGGCTGAACTGAGACATCACCTCGCCGATGACAAAGTAATATGGGGTTTCAAACGTGAAAAGTGGGTCAGGGACAATACGACGGGACACACCCTGCGGTCGAAGTCGTAGTGGGGGGAAGCAAGAGAGAGGCTGGTGGTCAGCTCGAGGCGCTAGGAGCCAAGTTCTCAGAAATGCCAGCGCTTGTAAGATGAACAGCGTGGCTTTTTCTTATGCGCCTTTTCCAAGCTCCTTAGAGGTGCCCCTTCCCCACAGGGCGCAGATCAGACACGAAACGTTTGGCTCCTTTGAGTGACATATCTGCTCCAAGACAAACATTTGTTAAATGCAGGCTTGCAGATGAAACTCACAGTTGTGTTATAGCAGAGGATCACACACACACATGCGCTAGCCTGCCAACCCTCATGTATCATTTTTGGTAGCATGGAAGCAACGTGCAAAACGGATTAGAGCTGGTTAAGGAACGTGGCAAATAGTGGTGAGAAGGCAGTGAGAGACAAGGAAGGAGAGTGAAGTATGGAAGGAAGCGGGAGCAAAGGAAATGAAATGGAAGTTGAGCATGGTCTTCCAAGCCATGAATTGGGGGGGGGGGGCAAAACATTCCCAGTTATTCATCAAAGTAACGTTAGGGAAATCGGCACTCAGCCATGAAACTCACTGGGTGACCTTGGGTCACTTCCTGCCTCTCAGCCTAACCTACCTCACAGGGCTGCTGTGGGAATTAAATGATCGGGCCCCTCTCTGTGGCCATCCTGTCTGGGCTTGATGGACATTGTACAGTGGTACCTCAGGTTAAGAACTTAATTCATTCCGGAGGTCCGTACTTAACCTGAAACTGTTCTTAACCTGAGGTACCACTTTAGCTAATGGTGCCTCCTGCTGCTGCCGTGCCGCCAGAGCATGATTTCTGTTCTCATCCTGAAGCAAAGTTCTTAACCCGAGGTACTATTTCTGGGTTAGAGGAGTCTGTAACCTGAAGCGTCTGTAACCTGAAGCGTATGTAACCCAAGGAACCACTGTACTCCAAAAACGCCTGGAGGGCACCAGGTTGGGAAAAGGCAGCTTTAGACCCACAACTCTCAGAGTAACAGGCAGATTGGAACTTAGGCTGCCACTAGCTTTTTTCATCCCTGTCTTTATCTGTATGGTTAAAGGGGCTTTAATTTTGTACTGGTTTGTTTTTATTGTTGATTTCTTCAACGTTAAACCACTTCAGGATGTTTCGTGGGATGTGATTCATGAACGAAGTTCAATAAACAAATGCCACCGTCTTCCAAAAAAATACTGTGATGCAATTCCTGGCAGTTTAAACATATCAAAATACACAGTTAATTACATACCAAAGAAATGTGTGTGTGCGTGCACGCACACGCACGCGCGCACACACACACACACACACACACACATATTTAACAAGATATCTTGAGAGAAAAAATGCCATTTTTAATATGCATATTAATACAAATATATTTTAGAAAAATTGTTTTCTTCAATTAGGAGGACTAGAAACTGCTTAGGGTTTGGTTTTGTCTTGCTTTTTCAAACCAAGGTTAGGCACACCTTGGGACCTTTTGACTACTGTGTTCAACCAGATGAGGCTGGCATTTCCCTTCCGCTGCGAGGACCATTTGAGTTGTCGCAGCTCAGCTGCCTGGACTGAGTGGCCATTGGATTGGACTGTTTGTTTGTTTTCTTAAGAGAGGAAGGTGCAGGGGATGCTAAACAGCCCTTAGCCGCGCTGGCAGAGGAAAAGGAGCAGCTGCGCTCTTGCAGCTGGTGGCATGTCAGCCAATCTGTCACACTGGCAGGATAATAGAGAGTGCAGGAGCTTTGCTCCGTGAGCACATGACAAGAGTTCGTCACCCCAAAGTTGAACTACAAGGGCAGGCAGCAAACAGTATATGACAAAGGCTAGAGAGCAAGAGAATGTGGCGTCTAGTGTTACACATAAAAACTCAGATATGCTTTTAACGTCCAGCCCATTACATTGTTTGCATTGAACTTTGAATCCTACCCTTTGCAAAAAAAAAAAAAGTGCTATTTTTTTCCCTCCATTTCAAAAATAGCTCTTAAATGGTTCCCTGTCCCACAATAACTTGATCATCACTCACACGGTTCATCCAAGCCTATTAAAAATGTATACATACCTTCTCCATTTGGAGGGTAGAGACCCTTTCATTTGTCTTACGATGAAAGAATCTTTGATTTGAAGTTCTCCAAGGTTATGGTTTTGGATCTGCAGGGGTTTTTTTTCTCTCATTAAAATTAAAATGCTTCCAGCCTCCCAAAATATGAAGTTCTGCAGAGTTTATAAAATACCCAGTAGAACATGGTATAGAGGCAAGACTGCCCTTCCTGCAAATCAACTATCTAATAAACAGCCAACATTTGGAATACACGTATGCTCGCCTTTTAAATTTTTTTTAGTTATTTATTACATTGATCTTCCAGGCATCTTAAGGAAGTGTACATGGTTCTCCTCCTCCCCATTTCACCCTCACAACAACCCTGTGAAGCAGGTTAGGCTCAGAGAAGGTGACTGGCCCAAGGTCACCCAGGGAGCTTCATGCCTGAGTGGGGATTTGAACCCTGCTCTCCCAGGTCCTAGTCCAACACTCTAACTATTATGCCACACTGGCTCTCCCATCTACTAACTACATTGGATCTCCCTTCTACGGATCTAGCTTCCCCGCTTCCTCTTGGCAACCCTGCAGCACAATCAAAGTACAACCGAGCACAATTCAAAGTGTTGGTGCCGACCTTTAAAGCCCTAAACGACCTCGGTCCTGAAGGAGCGTCTCCACCCCCATCGTTCAGCCTGGACACTGAGATCCAGCACTGAGGGCCTTCTGGTGGTTCCCTCACTGCGAGAAGTGAGATTACAGGGAACCAGGCAATGGGCCTTCTCGGTAGTGGCGCCCGCCCTGTGGAACACCCTCCCATCAGACGTCAAGGAAATAAACAACTATCTGACTTTTAGAAGTCATCTGAAGGCAGCCCTGTTTAGGGAAGTTATTAATGTTTGATGTTTTATTGTGGCTTTAACATTCTGTTGGGAGCCGCCCAGAGTGGCTGGGGAAACCCAGCCAAATGGGTGGAGTATAAATAATATATTATTATTATTATTATTATTATTATTATTACTCAGGCGTGCCCACTGAGAAGCAAGCCCACAACATGCATAATGTAGCTTATTCCCAGTGCAGTATATGCACAGGATTGCTGCCTTCACTGTGCTGAGCCAGTGTAGTGTAGTGGTTAAGAGAGGTGGACTCGTAATCGGGTTCGCTTCCCTGCTCCTCCACATGTAGCTGCTTGGTGACCTTGGGCTAGTCACACCTCTCTGAAGTCTCTCAGCCTCACTCACCTCACAGCGTGTTTGTTGTGGGGGAGGAGATTGTTAGCCACTTTGAGACTCCTTAGGGTAGTGATAAAGAGGGATATCAAATCCAAACTCCTCTTACTCTTCTTCTTCTTCTTCTTCTGCATCACATGGTGAATGGTTCCCAACATTTGCTCATAAACCAGGGTTTGCAACCAGGCTTACAAACCATGGTTACCATGGAACCCTGACAGCATCACCATTAGAACTGGTGCACATGATGTTAACAACATCAGCAGCAGCATCACACAGAGCTAGTGTGGTGTGGGGATTAGGAAATCAGACTCAACTGCTTAAAGCAGGGTAAGGAAATATGGGGCCCTCTAAACATTGCTTGACTTCAACTCCCATCAGCCCTAGCTTCTAGGGTCAAAGGTCAGGGGTGAAGGGAGGTGCAGTTCAGCAACAGCTGCAGAGCCACATGTCCATCCCATCTCCCAGCCCGAAGCTTACATAGCTTATGCACTCTTGGGAGCAGAGGGGGAAAGTGATTAATAAGTTCTTTCATCACTGGAACAGACACAATCAATTCAGAGCAAACAGCTGGAGTGATGTATTTAAGAGATCAATGTTAACTGTCAATGACAAGGAAAATCTAGTGACGAATTGGATAATTATTATATCCACACTAGTATAATAGTAATAATAATACCCAGCTTTTAATGTATTTTGAGCCCTGTTCAGGCACATGACAATTACGGCATGCAGGACTACAGTGTGGCGATGAACATTTGCCCCATATGGGTGCCGGACCCTTCCTAACACTGTCCATGGGCAGAGGGCAATGTCTGAAACAGGGGAGTCTGCCAGATACCTGTAGTTTATCCCTGTGGGTTGGAATCCTTAGGATTCCAGGTCATGGGGTCAGTCTACGTGTATCTGGCAAGGCTGCTGAAATATACCCGGAGTCGAGTGTGGATTTCATGCTCTTTATTCAGCTCATAGTAGTGAGGAATGCCAGTTCCCCCGAAATGTCTGCTTTATAAACATTATTTACACAATGGGCCCCACGTGATTGGCTAATTCCGGGATTCTCCTGTAGGCCAATCAGGTTGCGGATTCACTTCCACCTAGAGTTGGATTGGGTGGCTCCTGCAGACCAATCAGACTGCTGTATTTTGGATCCTATTGTTCTAGGACCGATCAGACTGCTGCATTCTGAATCCTATTCAACTCAGTACATAACAGCTGCCCTCCTGCAGATATTGCCCTGCAGAAAACAAGATTGCCAAGACGTACTCTGCAAAATTGACACACAACCCCCTCACTCTGCTCTGATGGGGGGTTTTTTTGGGGGGGGGAGGAGACACAGTAATCCATTTCCCCTTCCTCATCTCTGCCATGTTTCTATTTAGGTTTAACATGGACCCCACCCCCAAATTGATTTGGGACCAGATCCAAGGGTGGATTGGCCCCAGGTTGGCCTGTCTGCAGGTGGAGGGGTTGAATCTGAGCCACAGTGCAGATCGGGGGGCTGTGTGTATTTATCTTTTTTATTTATCTAAACAAGCACAAACATTTTAATGACACAAAAGAGGGAGGGAGACAAAAAAAGCCTGAATAAAAACTAAAATGAAACATACACACCAAGTACAAACTATGGTAGTTTCATTCACATTCCCTATTCAGCCCTGGTGATTATTATAATGATCATACCCATTATTAGAATCGTAAGCACACAAACAGAGCTCTGTAATAAGACTGGGAAATACAAATCCCATTTAAGCCATGAAAGTCAATGGATAACTAACCTGACACCAGTTGCTATCTCTCAGCCCAACCTACATCAAAGGGTCGTTGTTACGATACAATGAGGGGTGGAGGAGCTGACCAGGGCTTCTTAGAGGAGCGTTCTGATAATAATATATAAAAGAAATAAAACATTGGTTAAAACTACCAAGGGCAGGCAAAGAAATCCACTTCAGAAGTGAGCAGGCTTCTGAAGTGAATGTCTTTGAGGCTAGCTGTTTATTTGCAGAGAGCCAGTTTTATATGTACAGTGAGCTTCGGAATATGAAGCTGCTATGTGTTACCTTGCAAGCGGTATCAGCTGAAACTTTTTCAAAATCCAGAATGGATCTTCTTCTTTGGTACAAAGCAATAAAAGTGCTGTTTCGCTGTATTGCAGGGGCGGGGGCGGGAAAAACATTAAGGAACGCAATGTTTACAGAGAAGACCACAGAAAGGTCAGCTTCCTTTCAGGCACAAATCCAAACACTAATAAAGCTCCACTCCATATCTCCGCGCCCAACGGTTGGCAAACCAAGCCAACTTTCAGTCAAAATGATGTACTGAATTATTCTCCGCCGGACAGAGTTTTAATGTATACCAAACCACCCTGAATTCGGCCTTTTCCAAAAGACGTTTATAAGAAGGTGCTTTCAGATGCTAAGTGCCAGCCTCAGCAGATAACCTAGAGAGAGCATTTCAGACGGATTTATTCCCAATACACCCCCAAGGATAATCTTCTATATCATGGCCAAGGTCAACAGGATTCTCACAAGGAGAAGATTTTAGGGAGCCGTGTCTGCTTGTAGGGGAGGTGGAAACTAATTTGTGGCAGACACTTCAGGATTTGAAGTAGAAGCTTTGAGGTTCAAAATGAGCACCACACTCCGCTTGCCAATAAATCCTCTCAGGTGACCCTTAGGGAGTTGTTCTCTCTCTCAGTCCCTGAGCTGTGAAATGGGAAGAATGACATCCCTCCTTCCTGGGATTGTTGTTGCCACTGAAGAGGAAAATGAAGGGCTGCGCACATTAAGAAGCAATGTTAAAACGGTTAGAAGCTATTTATTTACTTACCGCAATTCTATACTGCCTTTTAACACAATCATCAGTAGTCCGCTTGGACTACTGCAATGTGCTCTACATGGGGCTACCTTTGAAGGTGACCCGGAAACTGCAATTAATCCAGAATGCGGCAGCTAGACTGGTGACTGGGAGTGGCCGCCGGGACCACATAACCCGAGAGATCTGCATTGGCTCCCAGTACGTTTCCGAGCACAATTCAAAGTGTTGGTGCTGACCTTTAAAGCCCTAAATGGCCTCGGTCCAGTATATCTGAAGGAGCGTCTTCACCCCCATCGTTCAGCCCGGACACTGAGATCCAGCGCCGAGGGCCTTCTAGCAGTTCCCTCATTGAGAGAAGTGAAGTTACAGGGAACCAGACAGAGGGCCTTCTCGGTAGTGGCACCCGCCCTGTGGAACACCCTCCCTTCAGATGTGAAGGAAATAAGCAGCTATCCTATCTTTAAAAGACATCTGAAGGCAGCCCTGTTTAGGGAAGTTTTTAATATTTAATTCTGTATTGTTTTTAACATTTGACTGGGAGCCGCCCAGAGTGGCTGGGGAGACTCAGCCAGATGGGCGGGGTATAAATAATAAATAATAATAATAATAATAATAATAATAATTCCCAAGGCGATTTGAAATAACTTTCTAAAAAGGGAGAAAGAATCTGCAAATGTGCATAGAATGTTTTAATAAAACAGATTTTAAAACTGGAGCGACAATAAAAAAAGCACTTCTGATTAACTGATATACTCCTGTGAGAATAATAATAAAAAGGCACTTAGAATATAGTCACTTGAGAGTCTAGTAAGCTCTGGTCTGAGCAGAAGCTCATCTCAGCTCCCAGTAAGATGGCACTAGGGGTACTGTTTCACTGGCAGATCTTTAAACCCCAAGGTGAGTTCAGAAGGGAGAACGAGATGCTAAAATAGTCCGGGCTAAGCCATGTAGGGCTTTCAAGATGAAAACCAGCATATTGTGGGGATTTCAGTATCCTGGTTGGCTGCGGAAATGCTCCTTCTGGATGTTCCCCCTATGGAGTAGAGTTATAGTTTGTGGGGCTCCTGGATCCCAGGATTGCAACCAGATTCTGCATGGTCAGCTGTGCATAGGAAAAACCCTTCCCTAGATAGATCCATGCTCTACCCACGGATCCTGCAGAGGAATGAGCAACATCAGGTGTGGTGCTGTGATGAGCAGGGGCTGTGCTGTGTGCAACACAGGGGCAAAGAGCACCTGAATATGGCTCCTGGCTTCCTCTTGAGGACTTCAAAGCAATTAATGCACGAACAGACCAAATGCTGAAACTGACTTTCGATGGTATTCTGTTATTAATTGTACTTACTGTATGTACTGTAATTTAATCATTGGATGCGGTCAACCAGTTATATGGAACTGAGTACAGCACAACTACCATTTTAAATATTTTGATGTCTTGTAACTGTGCCACATGGTATCAGCATATTGATGATAACTCACGCCTTACCTTCCGGATGATCTCTCTTAACCCGTTTCATGAAGATGTTAATCAAAAACAGGTCCCCAAAGGGGGAGCTCGCGCCAAGACATTTTGTCTCAACATAATCATGGTAATTTCAACACTCTGCTGGGGAGCACAACTACGGCTTAACCACATGCCACCAGATGTCGATGCAGACTATGGACTAGCCACTTGAGCTGCACTCTTCAAAACGTGTCGCGCAGCAACAGCAAAATTAAAAATTAAAAAATGAGGCACTTCTCAATCTGCAGTGGGTGCAATTCCTATTCAATAGCGGTGTGGCATTTGGCTGCAGAGTACGCAGAAGCTTGCTCAGCATATTGTGCTTCCTATCACCCTTATAGCTAAGTTGTTGAAGATGATTTATTTAGAGGGCCTCTGAATACCTGGCATCTTGCTGTATTTCAGGAACAGAAGACTCGCACCTCTCCAGCTCAAGTTTGCTAACCCTACAAAGCTTCTGGGGCCCCATTGCTAAAGTATTCTTACTGAAAATAGGAGCACAGTCGATGGGATTCCCTTCAGAAGTTGTTGGGAACCAACTCTCACTGGCTCCAGCCAGCATGGCCATTGGTTTGGGACAGTGTTTGAAATTCGCCAGGCACCAGGTACATTTTGAAGCTGGCTATTGGCCACTTACGACCAAGCGAAGATGCCCGGGTCCCAGGATGGCGCTTGACATCTCCACCATCTAGAGGTGCATTCCTGGGGAGATTCTGGGATCCTGACGGTTTTCACGTACTAGCAACACACCCTGTAGAATTCTACTTGTGATATTTTATCTGCACAATCAGAACAAATTTCAGAAACCAAAAAGTCGTACTGAAAAATACAACATTTGAGCTGTTTGGCCCCAAAATGGCAACTGGACATCCCATTTTGGCGACTGTAACCCTGGTTTAAGGAGCCTTTTGTGCCTAGATTATATATTTGAGTTTCAAACCCCTTTTTTGGGATGGTGGAAGGCTGTTGTAAATCATTTCATATACCAGGAGTGGGGAACCTCAGGCCTGGGAGTGGCCCTCCAACCCAGTCAGTGAGTGTTGAGGGCTTGGGCACCATCCCAAAGTGACCGACAGAGAAACATGGAAGGCAGAATCCGGCCCCTGAGCCTTAAAAGTCCCTACCCCATATTAAAAAGCATCCCAGGTATGTAAACATGGCCAGAGTAATGCACAGGATTCATTGCAGAGAGACTTGCACTGAAGAATACTTTAGCAATGGGGCCCCAGAAGCTTTTTCAGACAGGTGAGAAGAAGCCGTTACTTTAAACAGCTCTGGCTTTTGAAAGAGGCAAACAAAAACGAAAGGTATTCAAAGTCTGCTTCAAAGCAGGTGTCAGCTATTAATGGGCAGGCTGGGTGTGTACTTGGTACCCATAATGTTCACACACCCTGAGAGGGAGATAAAGCATGAGAGGCACTCGTTTTTCCGACGGCAGCCATGCCGTGCCCGTGCATTTAAAGAAATGTGCAGAATGGCACAGCCTTCATTATTCTATTGCTTCAGACATCAACTGGCCAAAGGAATCTAATTTAAGAGAAAGAGGGAACGCGAGACGACGGCGATTTATTAGTCTTTTTTCTTTCTTTTTCTTTCAAAAAAATGAACTCAAAGCGACTTGCAAAATGCAAAGATCAAAAGGAGATTGAAATAAGTGCTTTGGTATTGAAAATGGAAGGCTTCTTTAAAGAAAAGAAAAAGGGACAGGAGAAATACTCTCCCTTTCACGATATCCGATTGTTCCTTGCAAACTAAGCACCAGGCCACGCAGATTAAGAAAGCATTAAGGAAGAATGTGGAAGGAAACTTGAATTAAAAGGGTTTTAAATAAAATAAAACAATAAAGCTTGATTCCCAAGCTCTGGGACTTAATCGGATTTATATACAAGCATACACACACATAATAATAATAATAATGATAATAGGAAGTTCTCGTTAAAATAGGTGTAACTTAACTGATTCATAAGAATGTCTACATGGCAAATAGCCATTTCTCGAAAGCTTGGGAACTGCAGTCTGACACGTGATGAGGATTTTAAAGAGAGCGATCAGTGAAAACAGAGTTCCCGGGCTTGCTCCAACCTCCAGAGTTGCAGACAGATTAGGACAGTTGATTCCGCATGCCACAAATACTCTTGATTTTCTTTTAATAAAGGAATGAACTGTGGGAAGCCTTCAGGCACCAGAGAAAGGAGCAGCCCGTCACCCAACTTCATCCACAGCTGCCAGCACTGCTACTCTCTCGCCGTTTGCCAGAATCTGTTACCCTCTTGGAAGGAGGCAGGAGAGAGGAGTTGGAAGCGTCCCTCCTAGATGGCCAATGAGGTGACCACCTGCAGTCTATTTCCAGTGGTTCTGCAGTTAGGGAAATTTCAGACTCCCTCCTCTGGCAATCTGCACAGAATTTTGCTTAACGGTTGCCATCAATTTGATTTTAATTAATTTTTATAATGAAATGTTTTTAGAATGTTGGATTATTTGATTGTTGCCCTGAGCCCTGGGGAGGGCGGGATATAAATAATTTTTTTTAGTATTGTTGACATGTTGGGAGGCTGCTCCTACAGAGCTCAGTCTGCCATATCCAGCCTCCACCTGCCTGCCTTCTTACTTATAGCCATTGCAGGAGCTGCCAGACAGTTTCTTCCTCCTTAATTTTCACTGTTCCCGTCGAAGAACTCAACAGAGAGGTGGATTGGGACGGAACTAGAATTCGCTGTCTATGCCTGTCATTAACTTTGGCTCTGACAACTGTTGGCCTTCCTATTGCCCTACGAGTCACAATGGGTGCACACACAGATCTCTGGACGTGGTGATCTTAGCGAGGAAGGGGTGTTCTTCAGGTGGCAAACGGACATTGCTTCAGAGCCTTAAGTCAGCCCTGCTGTCAGGGCATCTGCAATGCATGCAGAAAGTCTCAGGTTCAGATGCTGGTATCTCCATGTAGATCTGGGAAACTCTGTAGAGAGCTTGGGTCTCCAGCTGTTTTTGGACTACAAATCCCACCAACACTGGACACTGGTCCTGCTAGTTACGGATGATGGGAGTTGTTTGGGGAACCCTGCTGTAGGCAAAACTGAGCTAGGTGGGCCAAGTATAAAGCAGCTTCCTATCCCACAAGTTTGAGATGTCTATGAGCAGGACATGGATGCAACAGCACTCCCAACTGTGGGAAAGTCAGTACAAAGGCAGATCTGCAGCACAAAGTCTGCAAAACCCCTGCATCTCCACCGATCTCTATCAGAAGGCTCCAAGGGAAGTCCTACCATGTTTGTGCAGAAGTATTGATATGGTTAGGAAGAGGACAGACTCCTACAGCTTCCTACCTTTTCCAACCCCACAAATAGGAGAATTCCCTGCTTCTTTCCAAAGACCTCTGCATGCAACAGAAGGCATGCCTTCCCAGGTAGAGAGGGACTTGGTGACAAGACTTGTGGAACCTGCGTCAATAAACTGTCAGCAAGGGAATATAGGAGGCCTAAGGAACCTCTGACAATCCACATTTGTTGGATTCTAACTCCCATCATGCCAAGCCGAGGATGTGGCTGGATCTATGTAATAGTGTTCTGCCCCCATTTATATTCATTAGGAAAACTCTGCAAGTTTTCTAGTGGTTGTTTTACTTTTTACTTTTGTGGTCAAAATTAGTTTTGCCTCCCTTAAAGGTAAAGGTAAAGGACCCCTGACAGTTAAGTCCAGTCGCGAACGACTCTGGGGTTGCGGCGCTCATCTCGCTTTACTGGCCGAGGAAGACGACATTTGTCCGCAGACAGTTTTTCCAGGTCATGTGGCCAGCATGACTAAGTTGCTTCTGGCGAATCCAGAGCAGCACACGGAAACACTGTTTACCTTCCCACAGGAGCAGTACCTATTTATCTACTTGCACTGGTGCCCTTTCAAACTGCTAGGTTGGCAGGAGCTGGGACCGAAGAACGGGAGCTCACCCCATCACAGGGATTCAAACCAGCGACCTTCCGATCGGCAAGCCCTAGGCTCCGTGGTTTAGACCACAGCGCCACCCGTGTCCCTTTCGCCTCCCTTACCTCTCAAAAAGCCACCCATCCTTTCCATTCTATTCTTCGTTTCAGCTCATTTTCTACAAGGTGTGATATCCAACCACACAGGCACTTTTTACATTACTATTGTTTTATAAAGTGCAAGGATATGACCCACTCGCTGCAAACCATCTCTGCAGGATAAATTTATTGCTAGATCAATATCCCAGCCTCGCATTAAGTGGCTGCGCAGCTAGTCACAAATCTTCATTTCATTATAATTCAAATCCTAAAATATCTGGGGGACTTTATAGCCTAAATAATTGCTGCATGTGTTTTATGCGAGGAATTCCCTCCTAGGCACCCGTTCTGTTGATGCAAGTATTCCAATGATGCCTCTCTTCACTGCTTTTTTAATTCATGGTTTTCGCTGGAACAGCATCTTTGGAACTAAATGTGTGAGCTGGAAACACCAGTTTCCCAAACGGTATAGTCCTATTAAGACCTAACCCTAACCCCATTAAGGTCTTCTTCCTGTGATTCACAGATTGTGAGGTCTTGCAAGCAGCCCCCACTCCTCTGTGTCCTTCAAAAAAGGGGAACGTAGAATGCCAAAGTCTGATGGGACCTTAGAAGTAGTCTATTCCAACCCCGCTCTTTAATAGAGGATCTACAATGCAGCATGTGACATCTCCAACAGACAACCATCCAGCCTATGCTTAAATACCTTCAACAAAGGAGAGTCCACTACCTCTTTCAAGGCAGGTTAAGGTGACACATTAGGCAGTCTCTAGTAATGTTTAGCTACAATCAGCTTCCTTGCTATTTCCACCCAAATGTGTCCATTTGCACTCGCTGGAGCAACTGAGAACAAATCTGCTCCATCTTCTGCAACAAATAGCTAAAGAATGCTAGTATGTCTCTCCTTAATCTTCTCTCCTCCAGGACAAACATACCCAGATCTTTCAACTGTTCCACATAAATGGACTTGGTTTCCAGGCCACACATCATCCTGGTCAATCTCACATTGGAGGAGGCCCACCTAGTCAAGTTCTCAGAGTGGCCATCTAGATGCTTAGGAAAACCCTACAACGGCCACCCTCTGGACTCACTCTTGCATTTGGGCAGCCACGTCCGGCCACAGTACTCCAGAGGTGGCCCTGACACAGCGGAACAGTATAGAGCTCAAGTCATCTTCAAGTGTTCAAGTCTCATGCAATCAGAAGGAAGAGGGCAGGATAAGCCCACGGGCCCCAGCCCTTGTCTGACATTGTCCCTTCATTGCAGGGACTTTTCTACACATGTACACTCCCTGTGCATTTACATGACTAGAAGCCTATAAGACTGGGGTTCTAAGTCACCCAAGGAGCTTACTTGAGTGCAGTAGACTCCCTGCTGCAGCAACTGAAGGATCATATTCACTCTCCCCTCCGGTAACACAAGTAACACCCTTTCCCAAAGAGACTTAGTCATGGTTAAAGGGCACAGCAGGCTTAAGTGCTAACTAAGTTCCTTCTGCACTAGGATTTCAGAGTGATGCCTTACTCTGATTCCAAAGGCCAATTACACTGGAAACCCTTGTATGGCCAGTGTGAGCTTAGCGCTTAAAGGTAAAGGTACCCCTGCCCGTACGGGCCAGTCATGTCCAACTCTAGGGTTGCGTGCTCATCTCGCTCTAGAGGCCGTGAGCCGTCGCCGTCCGAAGACACTTCCGGGTCACGTGGCCAGCGTGACAAAGCTGCAGCTGGCGAGCCAGCGCAGCACACGGAAACGCCGTTTACCTTCCCGCTATAAAGCGGTACCTATTTATCTACTTGCACTTAAGAGTGCTTTCAAACTGTTAGGTGGGCAGGAGCTGGGACCGAACGACGGGAGCTCACCCTGCCGCGGGGATTCGAACCGCCGACCATACGATCGGCAAGTCCTAGGCACTGAGGTTTTACCCACAGCACCACCCGATAGCGCTTAGCTATCGTTAAAGCCTCTGGAGAATGGAGGCTGTGAATGAGGTGCAAGTGGAAAGGTTATGGCTGACTTCATGGTCCACTCCCAATCTTTATCCATGATTAGAACTTAGGAGCAAGTGCACACCTGCCCAAAGCGATGCACATGCAGAGAGAAGAATGAACACCTTTCATTTAAAGGACTACAAAAAAGGCAGTGTCTTGCACTAATTAAACGATCCCACCCAAGTAAGCCACATGCCATTAAACCAAAACAAACAGAACTGCAAGTGGATTCTCCCATTCACGGGCTTTTTTGGGCTGTGTGCCCCGTTTGAAATCTCATATTAATTGCCTTTTCCTCTGAAGGAGCAGCTAAGACTTTCCATTCTTCCCCGGTAAGCCAACAAAACCCTTACGTACACTTCAGAGGCCAAAAGCTATAATAGCTCCCAACTGCTGAATTAATTCCATTAATTCTCCTTCCCTCTTTGGTGTCACTCAAAGTGAGACTTCTATGAGTTTTCTGGCTAAATTTAAAACTATCTCAAAAGTCACCAGAGATCTGCCTTGATCTGCCTGGATCTAGCGATAAGGAGCTGAAAGGCATTTCGTACACTTTCATGACGTTCTCAGCATCTCAAGGACATCACTTGAAGTCAAATCAGGAACTATATCTATTTACAGGAGATACAGTGATTCCACAAAAAGTCACCTGCTCTCACGTAGCATCACTTGCTCCCATATTATGAAGTCAACACGTGAAGTTCTCCCACCACCCACTTCATATCACTGGCTGTCATTGGCTGGGGGATGACGACAACACATTATTATTATTATTATTATTATTATTATTAAATAAATAAATAAATTTGTATAGCGCCCCATACTCGTAGATCTCAGGGCAGTTCACAACACTACCTACAGGACCGCCTCTCCCGGTATGCCCCACAGAGGACCTTAAGGTCCATAAATAGCAACACCCTAGTGGTCCCGGGCCCTAAGGAAGTTAGATTAGCTTCAACCAGAGCCAGGGCCTTTTCAACTCTGGCTCTGACCTGGTGGAACGCTCTGCCTCATGAGACCAGGGCCCTGCGGGATCTGATTTCTTTCCGCCTGGCCTTTGGCTTGGAGCCAATTTGATTCCCTGCCCCTCTTTCTTTTTTCTTTTCCTTTCTCCTCCTGCGATGAGGCTACATTTTAATATTTTAATGTTAAATCCGTAACTAGAGGCACCACTTCTGCGCATGCACGTGGTGGCATGCAGAGCGCTTCTGTACATGCGCGAGCGGCAAAACCCGGAAGTATACACTTCCAGGTTTGCTGCAGCCGTAACCCAAAGATTCCGTAACCTGGAGGTTACGCAACATGAGGTACTACTGTATTTAGCTCACTGTTGTTTACACTGGCTGGCAGCAGCTCTCCAGGGTATCCGACACCGAATTCACCCAACCCTCCCTGGAGATGTCGGGGATTGAACCTGGGACCTTCTGCATGCAAAGCAGATGTTCCACCATTGAGCTACAGTGCTCAATGTGGACCCTTTGGTCCACATTCTGGAAGCATTTCCAGTGAGTCGTTTGTGTGGCCGCCAGACACCTGCAAGCTTTAGTCATGCAAAAAGGTAATTAACCGACTTGGTCCGAGCCATTAGCAAAGAGGATTGCTTAACCACTCTGCCAGTATTTTTCTACAAAATCCCATCATAAAGCCACAGGTCTGGAGGAGCCTCTCAAAGATGGCACCCAGACCATAACCCTTCCTGACCCTATAGCAAAAACATGACAACTTCTGGCTCTATGCGGCCATAGCTTTTATCAGATTCGCAAGTCACATGCATTCCAAGACCCATTAAACCTCGTGACAATCCCAACCTGTGACAGCCAAGGAAATTCCTTGCTACTTTAGGACAGTGATGTGAATTTTCAACCGCTTCTAACATGTTACACAGAATAATAATAATAATAATAATAACAATAATAATTTATTATTTGTACCCCACCCAGCTGGCTGGGTTTCCCCAGCCACCCTGGGCAGCTTCCACAAAGACCAAAAATACACTAATATGTCATACATTAAAAACTTCCCTGAACAGGGCTGCCTTAAGATGTCTTCTGAATGTCAGATAGTTGTTTATCTCTTTGACATCTGAGGGGAGGGCGTTCCACAGGGCAGGCGCCACTACCGAGAAGGCCCTCTGAGGGCCTGGTTCCCTGTAGCTTTGTTTCTCGCAATGAGGGAACCGCCAGAAGGCCCTCGGCGCTGGACCTCAGCGTCCGGCAGAACAATGGGGGTGGAGACGCTCCTTCAGGTATACTGGGCCGAGGCAAAGAACATTGTGCAACTTTTAAAGCTTTCATACCGGCAAAGTGCATTTCAATGCTCCAACGAAAAGCATTGTCCTTTGCACATTTTACAACTCTTAACTTTCTCTGGAGCGAGGAAGGCGAGCCTGCAGCAAACTTATTTGTGCAGGCACGTGGTTTGGTTTCTTCTTTCCAGTAAAGTCCAACTACGCAGGCCACAACACAATGCAAAGTTCCTTCCTCATGGGAGCAGAGAGAAGAGAAGAGAGAAAGAACTGGCTCCCTGAGCAAATCCAGCTCGTGATCCTTCTTTAATTGTCTGTTCTGTACACTTCACATTCATTTTAAACGGCAGAGAGGAAATCAATGCTCTTTTATTTTTAGGAAAGCTTCCCTCCACCACCACCGCCGCCCCTCCCGCTTGCTTTCCTTGCGACTCTATGCCACAAACTCTATTAACATTATGTCAGGGAATATCAAAGCTATTTGCAGATCAATCAAACCAGCAAGGAAAAGACCCTACTCTTCCCTGCTTAAAGTGAACCTCGAAACCCAGCCTGGCTTACTTGCAGGAAGAGGCAGCCTTAAAAAAAATATATGTGTATTTTGACAGAGAAGCTTCTTGAACCCCTTCGGCTAAAATTACTCTGTCTGGAAAGGGCAATAAAAGGCACTACCACCGAAGTGGCAAGTTTTATTTCACACGTATTTCTGTGCACAGGTCAGGAGATGGTATGCAGAGAGAGGAGGCAGGTTCATTTGAATTCAGGTCACTATAAGGTGAGGGGAGCGGGAGGCTAGGCAGACAACCCTCTAACCATGCATTAGTGAATTAACCAACTGTTTACAGATGTGTGGTCTCTCCCCCCAGCCCCGGCACTCACTCTCTCTCTTTCTCTCGATATTCTGAATCATTCTGTAGCAGTGCAAAATTTTAACTGCTGATCCCCGAGTCCAGTACAAATCTCTTTTAATTCACCTACTTCAAAGTCCTGAATTATTCAGCTAATGTGCTGCAAGCAAAGGCTATTTAAGATACGGCTATTTTTCCACCCCGGGAGAATGCAGGGGCCAGGGGAGGCACACTTTACATTCCATCCCAGGCTCCTCACATAAAAGACTCTATAATCAATGTCTTTGAGTCTTGATCTTGTTTGGGAGGAGGGAGACGGGAGAGAGGGGGGTGGAATTAAGAGAGAGGGATGGCAAGAGCTGGGTGGGAACAACCCGGAACATAATTACTTCAGAGCTAACTCAAAACGTTTGGTAATGACGGCCGCTCTCGCAAAACACAAGCCACCCCTTTCTTCAAAAGAGCAAAATTGCAGGTCAGACTCCACACACTTACAAAAGGGTGAATTTTAGCTATGTTTCTAAATGGTAATCAGTACCATTCTTGAACCTACAGAGACGTGCCTTTAGAGAAGGCCTAGGGAAATAGGGGAAGTATTAATCAGCAGGAGGAGGAGGGGAAGATTTGGCCGCACAAACATTAGCTGGGAGAAAGGAAAATTATATATATATATATATATATATATATATATATATATATATATTTAAAACTCTGAAAACAGTGTGGCCTGAGGAACATTGTGTGGTCCAGTGACATCTGGAGGACCACCTGTCCCCTGACCCTTGATATGTTTGATGCCGTCTTTCTGAACCCAGAACCAGCGCACAGCTCGCAAGTATGCGTAGCTGTACTGGAATCAGAATCCTG